GCGGCTCGGGCGGCTCGGGCGGCTGGGGCGGCTCGGGCGGCTCGCGCGGCTCGGGCGGCTCGGGCGGCTCGGGCGGCTCGGGTTGCTGGGGCGGCGTGGGCGGCTCGGGCGGCTCGGGCTGCTGGGCTGTACGGGCGGCTCGTGCGGCGCTGGTGTCGCGACGGGCGGCTCACTGGCGGCTCGCGGGCGGCTGCACAGGCGGCTCAGGGACGGCGGCGCGGGCGGCTCAGGGAGCTCACGGGCGGCTGCGACGGGCGGCTCGCGGGCGTCGGGCGCTAGGGCGTTGGGGCGACGGCGGGCGGCGCTCAGGCGTTCGGGCGGGCGGCCGTAAGGGCGAAAGGGCGGTCGGCGCTCGGGCGCTAGGGCGGGCGGCCGGCCGTCAGGGCGCTTGGGCGAGGGGCGCACGGGCGCTAGGGCGGGCGGCCGTCAGGGCGCTAGGGCGAGCGGCGCTCGGGCGCTAGGGCGGGCGGCCGTCAGGGCTCTAGGGCGGGCGGCGCTCGGGCGCTAGGGCGGGCGGCGCTCGGGCGCTAGGGCGGGCGGCGCTCGGGCGCTAGGGCGGGCGGCGCTCGGGCGCTGGGGCGGGCGGCCGTCAGGGCGCTAGGGCGGGCGGCCGTCAGGGCGCTAGGGCGGTTGGCGCTCTGGCGCTAGGGCGGGCGGCCGTCAGGGCGCTAGGGCGGGCGGCCGTCAGGGCGCTAGGGCGGGCGGCCGTCAGGGCACTAGGGCGGGCGGCCGTAAGAGGAGGGAGCGGCGGGAGCGCGACGGTAGGGGCGACACGCAGGGTCGCTAAAAAAAAAGAACGCGCGCCTCGGGGCGCGCTTCGGTGGGCCCTAGGAACAGTCCCTAGGAGGGGATCTGCTCTGATACCATGAGAAGAATTGAACGAGAATGAAATGAGTATGAACGAAGTGAGTACAAATAGGAAACCCTAATTGTGTTGTACCCCCTATGGGATACCCCACTATAGCCTACACAAACAAGTAAGCTATGTGTTCTGACACTCTCTTCCTACTCTTGTCGACCCGGAGTCGGACTCTCTTCGTGCTGTCAGTCCTACTGTCACGCGTCTCCTTGCTACTGTCGTCACTGACCCTTCTTTCGAGTCCACTGCTGCGTCTGCCCTAGTTACTGAGCTCGTCGACTTTGCTGCTCGCTGCCGCCTGGACTACGCTGCTAGTCTTGTCGCTGAGTCTTAGTCTGTCTGTCCTCGATCCGTCGGGGGTGAGTGTGCCCTTGGCACGGACGTCCTTGAGGACAGGCAGGAGGAGTTCCAGTGCTTGGCCGCTGCTTCACCTCATCTCGTGTCCGTACTGCTTACCCCTAAGGGAGACCCGGATGCACTTGACATCCCGACTCCGCGCTCTTACGCGGAGGCGATAGAGGGTCCCTACTCTTCTCAGTGGCAGGCAGCTATGGATGCAGAGATGGCGTCGTGGAAGTCCACAGGCACCTACATTGACGCTATCCCCCCTCCTGGGGCGAACATCGTCAGTGGCATGTGGATTTTTCAGGGTGAAGCGGCCGTCGCGTTCTCCGCCTGTCTTCAACGCACGATACGTGGCTCGTGGCTTCAGTCAGCGGTAGGGAGTTGACTACTTTCATACCTTTTCTCCCACCCCAAAGATGACCACTCTTCGGGTGCTACTGCATGTTGCCGCTCACCGTGACTACGGGCTGCACTTCCTCGACTTCAGCACAGCTTTCTTGCAGGGCAGCCTGCACGAGGAGATCTGGCTGCGTTGCCTACCTGGCTTCACTGGGTCGTTCCCTCCTGGTACCCAGTGGAGCCTCCGGCGCCCAGTCTACGGTCTCCGACAGGCGCCCCGTGAGTGGCACGACACACTGAGGAGTACTCTTGCGGCTCTTGGGTTTGCTCCTTCTACTACCGACCCGTCGCTGTTTCTGCGCACCGACACCTCTCTGCCGCCTTTCTACATCCTCGTGTACGTCGACGACTTGGTCTTTGCCACTGCTGACACTGCTGGACTCGCCTACGTGAAGTCCGAGCTGAAGAAGAGACACACGTGCACAGACCTGGGTGAACTGCACAGCTACCTTGGCTTGCAGATTACCCGGGACAGAGCACGCCGCACCATTACCCTGACTCAGTCACACATGGTGCAGCAGGTCCTTCAGCGCTTCGGCTTCACGTACTCCTCGCCTCAGGCCACTCCTCTTCCTACTCGCTACTCACTCTCAGCTCTGCCTTCGGATGAGTCCGTAGAGTCGAGTGGCCCGTATCCAGAGCTTGTTGGCTGCCTCATGTACCTGATGACCTGCACACTACCTGACCTTGCACACCCTCTTAGCATTCTCGCACGCTATGTTGCTCCTGGGAGACACCGACCAGAGCACATGGCTGCAGCGAAGAGGGTGTTGCGCTACTTGTGCAGCACGTCGGGCATGGGGCTAGTGCTTGGAGGGCGGAGTCCAGTGGTCCTCACTGGGCACGCAGACGCTTCCTGGGCTGACGACCAGGCTACACAGCGGTCGTCACAGGGTTATACCTTCAGCCTTGGTTCCGGCTCTGTCTCGTGGCGGTCTACTCGCTCGTCTTCTGTTCTCGGCTCCAGTTGTGAGGATGAGATCTACGCTGGGGCCATGGCTGCACAGGAGCTTCGCTGGCTCACCTACCTGCTGACCGACCTTGGAGAGCCGCATCGTTCTCCTCCAGTTCTGTACGTAGACAACAAGGCCATGCTGGCCTTGTTTCGAGAGCAGCGACTGGAGCACAGAACGAAGCACATTGCTCTCCGCTACTTCCTTGCTCTTGAGCTACAGCAGCGTGGTCAGTTGCGGCTTGCGTACGTGGCCTCTGAGGCCAACACTGCTGATGTTTTCACCAAGCCACTTGCGCTTTCTGATCATCAGCGCTTCTGCACCCAGCTGGGTCTTGTCTCTGTCTTGCCTCACTTGCTCACCTCTTGACCTTGCTTGTACTGTTACATATATATACACCTGCTCTTGCTTGTCTAGCTCTATAGATATATGTACTCTTGCATGTGAACTTGCCTTGTGGCCTTGAACTTGTGCTCAGAATGTGTGGTGACTTTGTGATCCACCCTGAGCTTTGCTTTACTTTGCTTGACTGGTCTTGTGACCCCTTGTTCTCCCCCACTCTGCCTATGGGGGTGTGTCAGAACTTTATAGCTTATGCAGTTGTGTAGGCTATAGTGGGGTATCCCATAGGGGGTACAACCCAATTAGGGTTTCCTATTTGTACTCACTTCTTTCATAGTTGATCCATTCTCGTCGTTGTTTTCACAAAAACCGCCGCACGCTCCGAGCGCGCGGCGGGAAGAGAAATCCGTCGCATGCCACGGGGCGTACAACACACAGAGTAGCAGCGGAAGCAGTTGTAGGGCCCACAGGCGAGGAGCGTGAGTGCTCTGAAACCATGTGAGAATAGTAGGTATAGTTAGGTGCCATAGCTAGGTAAGTCCTAGCTAGGCAAGAGAGAATGAGCAAAGGAGGGGGTTCACTAAAAAGCAGCAGGATACATATAGGGAACCCTAAGGGGTTGTACTCGCTATAGAGTACCCAACTGCAGGCTAGAGAACAATAACATTCTGACAGGTACGTACTTGACAATCACTAGCAAACCTTCCGCTGTTACACTACGTGCAATTAACCTGAGACGATCCTATGAAGTCTTTTCAAATTGTACTTGTAACAACGACTAATGCCCTACCTGACAGTTACCGAGTTGCATCGTGTAACCTGCAAGTACGGTTAAAGGCCGGTCAACAGTCACGACCGTTGACTATCTGCGACTGTTGACCTTCGAGTGTCTCTCGAGCTGCCGCGCGCTTATACGAGCTTAACGTAATAGTGGTACATATGCGCAACCTCGTTATGAAGCGGTGCGCTAAGTGAAGCCTTCGGTAGTGTTATCGTAGCCTTGAGTTATTCCACTAAAGTCTCACAAGTAAATTAGCATGCGTTCATATTGATGCCATAATATGTTGTTCGATTGAACGATACCATCCGCCATATTGATTGACAATTATACCGTATCGCCCCGGATATAGGCGCCGTCCGATTAAAGGCGCCGGCGCTTCTATCTGGAGCATGGCGCTTATGGCCGGAATTCGATTATAAGCGCCCCCCCTGAAAATGCTTTACTTATTATAAGCGCACGCCTAAATTTATTTTTCATTCCTGATTAAAACGGTAACGAACTTCATATTTCTAGCGAGTCACATCACATTTTCACTTTGTTTGACTTTCGCGGACCTCACTGGTTGCGCGTCCAGTCAGTATGAGCTGGCACGCGGGCAAAATGACGCGCCAAAGCTCAGTGCACCGTCAGAAATTCGCCCTCGCGCGATTCTGATTCTGGACGCTGTAAAGTTTTAATTCGGTTCAACTTACGAGACTGAACTGTACATGTTGGTGCGTTTGAATTGTATTTCTGTATTTGTCTTTATATAAGCGCCGGCGCTTATGGCCATTATTCAATTACAAGCGCCACCCTTAAAAAAATCGATTTTATTATAAGCGCCATGGCGCTTATATCCGGGGTGATACGGTATGATAATTGACAAACACGTTCATGGATTCAACACGATTTCACAATTAGGGATACAACAGTGAATGGTAAATTTCGTCCGTGATTTACGGCATTGTCTGAACATGGTTTGAAAACGTTGCTCATCTTCAGAAGGTGATTGAAAATTACTCTTGTTATGAAATGCCCAAATTTTGAAACCGAATACCGTTTATAAGGTTACTATCCAACTCGAGAAACATTGAAGGGGTATTGGTATTATTCGAGAAATTTATAAGAGCAAAGGTGTGCTTACCACCACTTCCCGCAGATCATCTCCCTCTCTCCCGTCCCTCATCCCAACATCCCGCTCTCGCTCTCCCTACCATGTCCATTTAGTTCAGTTCTAGCACTCAGAGCTAGAGGCTTAAGCCACAGCAGCCGCAGTGAGAAGCAGCGCGAGGGGAAGCTCCTCACAGCCGTGTTCAATCCTTTCACAATCGCACTGCAGGGCATGTGTCGCCACGTCGCACCGGTAAGCTACATTTCCTCAAACTCAGGGCGGGAGTCCCGATCGAGCTCATTGAAGCAAGGCTTCTGTCTTCTCCCGTCTGGTGCTTTTGTCCGCTTGTCATCTTCACGTTGTCTTTTCATTCGTGATTATCATTATTGGACTAATCTGACCCGTTGTCTGAGTTGGGGAGTGAGGAGCAATTAGATTGAGGTGCAGCGACGCTGCAGTGAAACGTCAAATATTTCCGCGTTATCGTACTGACCCCAACCACCGTTCTGATAGTTGGGCCTGTGACTTTTTAAAAGAACCCTTCTCTTATTTGCGGTTGTCCGCATGTCAGCTCCACATGCTTGCGTTATCAGTCACGTTGTATCTTTCTGTTTAATTTCATTGGTCTCATAGTTTTGGCTGTTTTAGTTGGGGAGTGAGGAGCCATAAAAATCCAACACTTGATTTGAGATACAGCGATTGCTGCAGTGAAACGGAAAATAAGATGGCGATCTCGTACTGACCCCAACCACCTGCCTGACATGTCTTACTAAAACCCTGTTTTGAGCGTGTCTCAGTCATCTTCCCTGTTCTGCCGTATGCCTTCGTTATTTTGACGCCGTCGGTCCGCAGCAGCCTTATGATGAAATTATCTCATGTTAAAGCCTTAGGACACCTTCTGACGCGGCTTAACCTGCGAATGAGAAGAATTGACGCCTGATGGCTGTGCGACGCTGATGGTGGTTATTTCCTAGTGTCTGGCCTTCCGTGTCTGGCCTTACGATCTCATCCTTTTGTAGCCCTGGTCCCGTCTCTCTGCGGATGATCAAACAATACTTTCGTTCTTCTGAGATTGTCCGAAACTGGGCACTGAAGAAGCAAATTGGAGACCTGAACTGAAGAGAGCCGGCCACCGTATCCTTTCCCCCGTATCTTTTTTCCTGCGCCATTTTGTTTCGTGCTAGTACGCGAGGGAATGACGAATACAGAGATGCGCAACCGAGCCACCCATTTGGGTGGCATTGACGATTGTAATTCTGTTGCCTTCCTACTGACTCTCCTTCCATCTTCGTCTCCAATGCGCGTGTTTTGCTGGTGTGTTTACTTTCCGCAACTTTTTGTCGCACCGTGTTTATTTTATGTTGAGCTAAGTACTTCTAAGCGCGGTTGAGGATGATGATTCCAGAGACTTGCAACAGAGACCCCAGTGACAACTGGGTGGCGGCGACGGCTGTGTAGCTCTGTTGTCCTCTGCTGACTCTCCGTCCATCCCCCTCATCCGACCTGCTTTTTTTTTAGATATATTTTGTATTGTCATGTTCGGCTATCCTCCAGAACTCTTGGTGACTGTTTTCTATTTAAGGCAGTCGTCAGGTATCTCCTAACCCTGGTCTGCCTGACTCGCACCAAGTAGAGCAGCTGCACGGCTGGGTGAGGCGGGTGCCGTGGCACCTCCTGTCTCCCTCACGGTCGAAGACGAGGAGAGCCACTTCCGTGCGCCAAAGCCTCAATCGCTTCGCGACATTTCCCACGTTCTAAATATACCTGATGTTCACTCTGTTTCTTCGTTGTTTTGATTGGTTTACAGATGGATGATAGGACTGCGTCGGTTTGGTGAACGGCAACAACACTTGCCTCATCCTGCCTCGCTCATTCTAAGCCGACACATCGCAAAGAAGCTTGCTTCGGCCGCTCGTCTCCTTCGAGACATTTCGCGCACGCCCGAGGTACATTCTTCCCCTCTGGACTAGCCACATGCGATGGGCTTCAGTGGTCTCCATCCAACATCGTGCTCACTGCGTACGGCATATGTATCGTTATTTTTACGGGGGAGTGACGAATAGTATTGAGTTTTGCAAATCGGAGCGTGGATGGCTCGCCATGCCCGGCAATGACCAGATAAAATTGCTGCGTTCTTTCTGACCCCCATCTACCGTGACGTGACTCCTTACTGCTTGCTGTTAGTTAATGCTTCTCTCTTGCATGCCTACCAGATCTCCTGTTCCGTTCTTTTTCACCTACTCCACCATCCTCTTTTCCCTCGCATCTCACCATCTCGGCGAAATTCTCCGTACAACCTCTCCGTGTCTTGTGGAGTGAGATTGTCCCAAGTGCCGAGTATACCCACCCAGTGGGGGGCTTGATGAACTCTTGCCGTTGCTGCAACCGTTCGATTAGTCTCCTTCTGGTACATCTCAAACGGGGAGCGTTCCAGTCCGTACGTCTCTTGCTGGCACATCTCCGTGATTCGACCTAACTGTTTATATCCCGCTTGCCCTCCCTTACGGCGGTTTGTGATCAGATGTGCTGGGGAGTCGGTAACGACTCATGCAAGGCGGCATCGCACCTCTACTCTCGCCTCCGCGGGGAAGCTGTACCATCTGTGTGACCGACTACCGTTTCGTCCACAGGGTGCGAGATTAACATTACCCTGCTGAGCGAGTTTTTTGGGCGAGTTCCTGCGAGTTCGATTCTGTGCTGGTGCCAAGTTTTAAGGTAAACCCCCTACTGTTCGAGTGCTGATGACTTGGTTGTGCTATAAGTCAACTCTTTCTGGACGCAGATTTCTATCATGGCTCGGACGGGTTTACCCTGTGAGAGAGCTTCGCTGCTGTGATCCAGACACTAATCAGCTTCGTGCTGGCGTGGCTTCTAATGCGAGGCGTCATTCCCTGTTGACGCGCTGGTTTCGCTTGGTCATGTCATACGCCTTTGCTCGCGCCGTTCCTGTTTTACAAGTCGAGCATACCCTAACTTCTCTTCTGTGCTGCATTTTACATCTGCAGCTCGAACCGTTATATCTGTGCGCCCATCACAATCTGCTGTGTTAAGTGGAAGGAGCATTATTACTCAAGGTGCGTCATCGGTTAGACCCTAGTCGCCAGCATCAGCTCAGAGTGGGGTTAAAACAATCCACACCTTCCCCCAAGGACCCCTGGGTTCTGGGCAGTGGGACGAGTGGCTGAAAAACCCCCACACCATCCGTGGCTCCATCAGCTTGTGCTCTCAGTAGGATCCGTCCTCATAGGATCACGAGTTAAATACTGCCACAACAACCGCGATTTCTCATCATGGTTGTCGGTTGATTTTCAATTGTTGTGGTTGCAGGTTAAAGAGACCTACTCGATTCAGCTCAGAGTTATGTTTATGGAAAGGTTTCATGATTGAGATGATTGGATCACATATGTCCTGAATACTGTGTCACTGATCAGGAGCTGATAGCTACAGCTAATCCCTGACCAAGAGGGGTTTGAATACTAATAGCCGTGGCAAACTTGATGAAGAGCATGCGGTATCTTTTTGCAATCTAGTGGTTCAATGTATGAAGTCTAAGTGCTGCTAATACATTTGATGAGACCAGCCTGATTGATTTGAGCAGTGATGTCAAACAAATCCCATCATTTGGCAAATGGCCTTTTATGCTATCAGTGTACAAATTGCAGAGGCTAAGGCTGGCTAAAGTGTATAGGGCATTCTGTATTTCTGCAGCTGAACAAGTAGCAGCTGATGCCAGGGATAATAAATTGCACTGACTACAGACCATTGACAACATATGATATCATGAGAATCCTTGTTACACATATCCGTTACACTGCACATTGACTGACGACACAAGGGTCTCTCTGCCTAACATGATCAAATAAGCTCATACCCCCACCTAGACAGATGGCATCAGGGTAACCGCTGCAAATAGACTGAGGACGGACGGGTCATTGCCGAACATGGACAGACGCCACAAGGCCTGCACCCATGATGCTGATGTCATCAATGATGGCAGCAACATTCACCACTCCGCATGGCAGCTGGTGAGTGGGGAGGGTGAGGGGTGGAGAAAGCAGGTGGTGAGGTGAGTGAATTGGGCATGGGGAGGCAAGAGCCAAGTGGGGAGGGTGTGGGGACGGCAGGAAAGGAGAGAGCAGCTGGTGAGTGGGGACGGCAGGAAAGGAGAGAGCAGCTGGTGAGTGGTTAGGGTGGCGGGAGGAGAGAAGGCATAGGCGTTGCAGGGTTTGGTGGAGCATGTAAGGGAGGGGAGTGGACGGTAAGGGAGTGGAGAGTGTGGAGGACTGGGAGAGAGGAGGGGTGGAAGGTGTGGGACGTGTAGAAAGGAGAGAAGAGCGTGGAAGGGAGAGGAGAGTGTGGAGCGGACGGTGGAGCATGGGAGTGCACAGCCTTGCTCTTCCCTGCTCCACCTCTGCACTTACAGGGCTAGAAGGGCGCACATGGACAGCAGCAAGTGCAGTGATGGCAGCAGGTGCAGTGAAAGCAGCAGGTGCAGTGAAAGCAGCAGGTGCAGTGAAAGCAGCAGTAATTAATCAGCTTTGGTGTCCCTTTTCATAACTCCTTCCCTCACTTATCCCTGTCATCACTTCTCAACCCCCTTGCTCACCGGTGATATGTCTCAGAATCTTTTGAGGCGCCTCAAACACACCGGTGATATGTCTCAGAATCTTTTGAGGCGCCTCAAACACACCGGTGATATGTCTCAGAATCTTTTGAGGCGCCTCAAACACACCGGTGATATGTCTCAGAATCTTTTGAGGCGCCTCAAACACACCGGTGATATGTCTCAGAATCTTTTGAGGCGCCTCAAACACACCGGTGATATGTCTCAGAATCTTTCCACACCCAACCGCCCTCTCTCGCGCTACTGCCAGCATGTCAGCATGTACCATATAGATACGCGTTCACTGCCATTTTCTTGACACGTTTTATTGTACCATACTTCTCTCTCTCTCAGCGTCTGATTATTGGCATACACTTCTCTCTGATTATTGGCATACACTTCTCTCTGATTATTGGCATACACTTGTCTCTGATTATTGGCATACACTTCTCTCTGAGCATGGCGAAAGTTTTGTACCTCGCTCTCTCAACGAGTCGTGAGTGTCCTACCTCTCGCTCAGACTGGTGGGAGCACGGCAGCAGGTGGGCTTGCTGGGCCCGGCGGGGCAGGCAGGGGGCAGCAGCACCGCCGTCAGCAGATGCACCAATGGGAATGCGCCATGTAGCACCTATCACCTCGCTCCCACAGAGGCCGTCATACCAGAAGGTGAGCACCGAGCCAAACCGTTCCTGAGCGATGAAAACGACAACACGGGAGAGCGGGCGGCAGAGGAGAGTCGACTTCGAGGTGCAAGTACGAATGAGCAGACTAAACCGGAACAAGTAAGTGCGAAACCAGGAGTACCATGCCAGTGATTTCCGGATGGATCCAATTCGTGTCAATCCAACGGCTCACCTGCAGGTGTGTGAGCAGCAGAGCCGTCGGATTGAAGCCAATGAGCAGCGGAGGGCCGGCAGAGGCGAGGCGGTGGAGAGACGGAGGGAGGGCGGTTGAGGGGGAGGAGGATGAGGAGGAGGTGGGATCTGTTGGAGAGAGGGACGAGGGTACTTGCAACCAGCCTGCACGCAGTCAGATAGCAGACGATGGGCATGGCACATGACACATGGCACATGACACATGGCACATGACACATATCAGATATGCCATAGACACACACGGGAGATGCTTGAATCGGCTGTGGTGTGGTCTGCTTGAGGGCAAGACGACCAGGCATAGTGTGAGGTGAGAGCCCATGAGCTTTGTGGTGTGAGGTGAGTCTGAGACCAGCATTGTGAGTCTGAGACCAGCATTGTGAGTCTGAGACCAGCATTGTGAGTCTGTGACCAGCATTGTGAGTCTGAGACCAGCATTGTGAGTCTGTGACCAGCATTGTGAGTCTGAGACCAGCATTGTGAGTCTGAGACCAGCATTGTGAGTCTGAGACCAGCATTGTGAGTCTGTGACCAGCATTGTGAGTCTGAGACCAGCATTGTGAGTCTGAGACCAGCATTGTGAGTCTGTGACCAGCATTGTGAGTCTGTGACCAGCATTGTGAGTCTGAGACCAGCATTGTGAGTCTGTGACCAGCATTGTGAGTCTGAGACCAGCATTGTGAGTCTGAGACCAGCATTGTGAGTCTGTGACCAGCATTGTGAGTCTGAGACCAGCATTGTGAGTCTGTGACCAGCATTGTGAGTCTGAGACCAGCATTGTGAGTCTGTGACCAGCATTGTGAGTCTGAGACCAGCATTGTGAGTCTGAGACCAGCATTGTGAGTCTGAGACCAGCATTGTGAGTCTGTGACCAGCATTGTGAGTCTGAGACCAGCATTGTGAGTCTGTGACCAGCATTGTGAGTCTGAGACCAGCATTGTGAGTCTGAGACCAGCATTGTGAGTCTGTGACCAGCATTGTGAGTCTGTGACCAGCATTGTGAGTCTGAGACCAGCATTGTGAGTCTGAGACCAGCATTGTGAGTCTGAGACCAGCATTGTGAGTCTGAGACCAGCATTGTGAGTCTGTGACCAGCATTGTGAGTCTGAGACCAGCATTGTGAGTCTGTGACCAGCATTGTGAGTCTGTGACCAGCATTGTGAGTCTGTGACCAGCATTGTGTTTGCCTACATGAGCTTATTGAGAAATAGCACCTTGGGACTGCACATGTGTCACACCTTTGGAAGGGAATGATGCTGTGGTGGGAGAGTTGAGAGATGGGGGATGGTAGAAAGCGAGCTCACCCTTGGTGGTGCTGAGAGCCTTGGGGGCCGGGAAGAGGACGCGGTGGTGGTGGGGGAGGGACGCAGGGTCCAGGTGAATGATGAGGTCGAATGTGGTGGAGAGCGGTGAGAGGAAGAGCGACTGCAGCCAGGAGGGAGGGGCAAGGGAAGAAGGAAAAGTGGGCACGTGGGAGATGGTTTGAGAGAGGGGAGGGTAGGCGAGACGGGGTTCCATGTTGGAATGAGAGGGGGGGTGTGGGAAAACTTCTGATCCAGCAAGGCAAGGCAGTGGTGAAAGACAAATTTCATTCCAAGGGAGGAACGAGGGGACGTTTGCAAGAATGTGCAACACAGCTCTGTGTTACCTGCCTGAGCGGCCCAAAACACCCACCTTCCACTGCACCGCCCTGTGCTTTTCATTGCCTCTCTCCTTCCCCTTGCCCCCTCCCTTTCTTCCTCCCTCCTCCCCACCTCCCCCTTCCTCCCCCTCCCCTGTGATCAGCTGTGCCAGCACTTGCGCTGCACTTTCGGCAAAGGCACACAGACGCTCCAGAGCCTGAGGGAAAGGGACAGAGGAGCACACGAGACGCACAAGGGCACAGAGGGAGGGGGGAGGGAAAGTGGGGGTATAGGGAGGGAGGGAGCATGGGAAGGAAGAGGGGGGAAGGGAGGGAGTGCGGGATAGGGGTGGGTAATAATTCACAAGAACTTCTAAGGCTTCCTCCTGCCATCACAGTGGGGGATGGTACAATGTGGTGTGGTGTGGTGTGGTGTGGTGTGGTATGGTGTGGTGTGGTGTGGTCTAAGGTGGGTAAGTTATGAGAAGGCATTCCTCCTGCCATCACCACGGACACTGAAGGCCATAGAAACTAAAAAACCCGTCCTTCTGAGTTGAGAATGTTTAGAACCAAAATTGCACCGCAACCAGTAACCAGAAAACGAGGGAATATTGCCATGTCACCTCAACGGACGGTCCGAGATGCGTCCACATGGCGCCGTCGCGATCGTACGGCGTGGAGATGCACATGGCGGGGCGCCGCTCCTTCTCCCCCTCGCCGTCCTTCCCTCCCTCCGCCGCGCTCTGCTTCAATCGCTTCGCCACGCTGCGTGCTGAGCTGCCCAGCGTGTCCTTGTGGGGTGGCAGGCGCTCGTCAAAGCGAGCCTGGTGGGGGAACACGATGGGTTCGGGGGGGGAAGAATGGGGGTAAGAGGGTGAAGAGGGGTAAGAGGGTGAAGAGGGTGAAGAGGCGACTCGCCCTCGCTGCCTCCCTCCCTCCCTCCCTCCCTCCCTCCCCCCTTCCGCCGTGCTCTGCTTCAATCGCTTTGCCACGCTGCGTGCTGAGCTGCCCAGGGTTTCCTTTTGAGGAGGCAGGCGGGCATCGAAACGAGCCTGGCGGGGAGGGGTGGTTGGTGGGGTAGAGATGGAAGATAAAGAGACGATTCATGCCACGCTTCCCAGGGTATATGTGTGGGGCCGTAGGCGCGCGTCAAAACGGGCGTGGCAGGGGAAGGGAAGGGGCAAAGGAGGAAGGAACGGGAGGAGAATGAGGAGAAGAAGAAGAGGGTAGAGCGATTCACCCCCAGCTGGCCAAGGCGTCGTGATGGAGTGGAGAGTAAGAGACAGTCCAATGGAACCCCACTTAAAAGTCAGTGGAGTGGAGAGTAAGAGACAGAATGAAGCTTTGTGGGATGGGAAGCAGGTGATGAAGACAAGGGTGAACCGTTGCTGCTGAGGGTCAGCAGAGCTTAACAAGTGCCTCACACGTGCAGAGTGGCATTGGTTGGTGAGACTGCTCCTCTTGCTTGCATCTGGATTTTCACCTGAATCTGCTGCACGTCTTCAGGAGAGAAAGCACTGTTCACGTCCACTATGAGCGGCTGCGACAGCCAATCGTACGACGCCACGAGGCGGAAGAACCTGCCACGTGTGCAGCAGGGCGGTGGCAAACATTGCGAGAAGGAGGGGAAAATGACCACACGGCGGCATTAGGGAGAATGGTGTTGGTTGGTGAGGCCATCAATGGTTGTGCGAAGCACAGAGTTGACGCCAGCGTGACATTATGGCGATGTTTTGATGGAAGGAAGCGAGCTGCGGGTCGGGTTTGACAGGAGGGGGTGGCAGCACCGGGCAAGGAATGGCAAGACAGCTGCGGGGAACGATGAAGCAGCAAGATGTGGAGAGGATGGGGAGGTAAGAGGGAGGAGGAAGGCACACAACAAAACACCAGCTACCCTAAAGTGGCTAAAGTTTTTCTTCCCCTGCTGCTCATGAAAAAACCCACTGCAATTCCACCTGAAAACACATCTGCTGTTTCACCTGACCTGAGCACACACCTGCTATTTGCCTGAACACTGCCCTACCTGAGTGCGCATCTGCTGTTTCACCTGAGGAGGCCAGCGAGTCGCGACTTGGGGGCGGGCAGCAGCAGGGGGTTGGGCGCGGTGAGGGTGTGAGCCAGCAGCAGCTCCACCGCCTCTTCTTTGAGGTGCGATGAGAAGAGATGAGCTGCCACCCACCGCTTGGCAAGCCTGGCATGTATGGGAGGAGAGGGAAATCAGTGGACGCGACGAGGGTGTGAGCCATCAGTACCCCCACTCCACCGCCTCTCCTTTCAGCTTCAATGAGAATAGATGGCTTGCCACCCACCGCTTGGCTTGCCACCCACCGCTTGGCTTGCCACCCACCGCTTGGCTTGCCACCCACCGCTTGGCTTGCCACCCACCGCTTGGCTTGCCACCCACCGCTTGGCTTGCCACCCACCGCTTGGCTTGCCACCCACCGCTTGGCTAGCCCGTTTGAAAGCGAGGAGTGGGACCGCTCGAGGAGGGAAGCAGTGGGAGGTGAGGGCAGGGAGATGTAGGGGATAGAAGTGAGTAAAGATTGCATATACTTCCCATATACTTGCCATATACTTGCCTGCATGTATGTCCTTATTTGATCTTATACACAGACCGTTTGAGAGAGATGAGGCACGCAGCTTAGCCTCACGTCAGCCTAGCCTCACGTCAAACCCTCCTTCTCCAACATACGCGACGGCAACTTCAGGTCACCTTACAGAAAGTCGACAGAATTCCTAACATTGTGATCGTCATCAGCAGCAGCACCTGTACCAGCACCCCCTTTATAAGCAGCACCTCTATGAGCACCACGGTGCACCGTAGTGTCTGTCACCTTGCAATGGAGCCAAAGGGCGGGTGGCGATTAGTGAGCCAATTGTACTGTGCGTGCTGTGGTGCCGCATTGCCATCGCCATCACACCCACCCAACATTGCCATCGCCATCACACCCAGCTCATAGCAGCACCACCTGCACCATCACTGCTATCACCTCTGGGTCTTGGGTGTCACCTTGCAATGGGGCCGAAGGTGGGGTGGCGACCCGTGAGCCCGTTGAGTGTGCTGTGGTGCTGCAGCGTGCGATGCGTCTCGGAGAAGGCGGAGGGGGAGGTGGGAACGGCGGTGAGGGGCGAGGGCGTGATGAGGGGAGTGAGGGATGTGGAGGAGGAGGAGGCGGTAACATCCTGGGCTGGTGGGACTGGAGGGATGGGAGGGAAGGTGTGAAGAGGAAGGATATAAGGAGACTAGCTGAAGAGGGGGACAACGTGGAACCAATCCCACCAAGCGCATGTGTATGTGCTAAAACGATTGAGCACCACTGCTGACGTGTCCTATGACCATGTGTGTGCTATATGTAACTCACAAATCATGCATCTCACCATAGTCATGCATCTCACCATAGTCATGGAGCAGCACGAGGCGGAAGGCAATGCCATCAATCATCACATCCACGGCGCCCTGCGCTGCTTCCACTGCCACCCCGTGTGCCTCCTGCAGGCTGGCACGCGGGAAGAGGAGAGAATGGGAGTGGGTGTATGATGGGCTGGGAAGAGGCGGAAGAGGCGGAAGAGGCGGAAGAGGCGGAAGAGGCGGAAGAGGCGGAAGAGGCGGAAGGCAAAGCCATCAACCGAAACATCCACGGCGCTCCATGCTACCTCCACGTCCACTCCATGTAGGAGCAAAAAGGTGAGGAGGAGCAAGAAGGGAGGCAAGGAGAAAAAGGTGGGGAAGGCAAGTGGGCGCATGGGTGATGATGACATGGACCATGAGCCATCGGGCATGGGCCATGGAGCACCTCTCCACATGGGGCTCGTCTGCTACCCGCTCAACCCATGCCACTCCAACCCCAACTGCTCCCACCCGTCCTCACCTGCTGGCGATCTGCAGGCAGAACGCTTTTGAGACGTCTCAAAAGTCCTCACCTGCTGGCCATCTGCAGGCAGAACGCGTGGCGCGTGAGGCGCAGCGCCTCGGGATCATCGGGCCACTTGCTGGACGCCTCGAGCTGCACGGGGGGGAGGGGAGAGGGTAGAGGGAGAGGGCGGAGGGAGTAGGCGTGGTAGGTAGAGGGGCATGAGTGGGCTTCGTCTGGTCAAGGGATGGTAGTGCTACTGGCTGGCCAGCCTCCAGCCGAATGGAAAAGGGAGCGAAGTGAGTGGAAGGAAGAGATATGTGCAGAAGGGATGAATGGCTGCACTGGTAGGAGCAGACAGATTCATGGCAGCACTGGTAGGAGCAGACAGATTCATGGCAGCACTGGTAGGAGCAGACAGATTCATGGAATCTACACAACAACGCCACACACCCTCCCCTGCCCCCATCACCAGATTCCTGTGTCTGTCGATACTCTCAACTCTCGCCTGCCCACTCCCTCCCACCCCACCCCCCCCCTCACCTGCACGGCCACGGGCACAGGGTCCACACAACGCCGCCACACGCCCTCCCCCGCCCGCACTGCCTATCCCAGTGGATCATCCAGTGCCTATCATGTAGTTTCGACGCTCGTCCCTCTGCCCGTCACACCGAAACCCCCCTCACCTGCACGGCCACGGGAACCGGATCCACACAGCGCCGCCACACGCCCTCTTCCTCTGCTGCGCCCCCTGCAGAGGGAGGCGGGCAGGGTGATGGGGGGAAGGCCGCTGCTCCCCTTGTTGCTGCGATGGGGGGGGAGAGGGGGAAGGGCAGGAGGGAGGAGATGGGGAGGAGAATGAGGGGGAGGACAGCAATCAAACATTGACGGGCAAGAGGCTGAGCAAAGGCTTGGCCCACGACGTGGGTCATCGTGGTGATGGGTATGGGCAAGGGCATATTCTATAGAACACGCAGCACAGACAAGGGCAGCTGTGCTCCTTGTGATGCGTGCAAGGCGGAGAGGAGAGGCACGGGGGGATGGATGGGGTGGAGAGAGGGAAGCACGCACCGGGGGAGAGGGAAGCACGCACCGGGGGAGAGGGAGTGCAGGGCGACGACGGAGAGCGGCAGGGAGGGCAGCTGGCGCAGCAGCGAGGCCACACGCTCAAAGGCTGCGCTGAGTGCCGGGGCGGATGATGCTGGGTCTGTGGGAGACATGGCAGTTACAGGGGTGGTGAGGGCGGGGGGGGAGGAGGGGAGGCGCAACAAGGGCAAGGTGTATACAAACTTTTGGGTAAAAGATTTCGGGTTTTGAAAGAAGGATTAGGGTTGCAAACTTGGCAAGAGACTCTAGCTGCGGCGCTGAGAGGCGGGTCAGATGACTGCATGAGAGGCGGGCCAGATGACTGCATGAGAGGCGGGTCAGATGACTGCATGAGAGGCGTGGTGGTGGTGGAAGGGATGCATGCATGGTGCTGAGAGAGTGGTCGGGACGGAAGAGGGAGAGGAGATAATGCACATCAAATCAAAGCATTGTCATGTTAGACACTCATGGATGTAAATTGCACTATGGAGGTAACCACATCCCATCCCATTCAGCGCATCCCATCCCATCCCACCAGATCAAACCACAGCACACCCACACGCACGCAACCCTCCCCACCACACACCCATGCCTGCCCGCCACCTGCAGTGCCAAGTCCAGCTGGCCTGCAGCCGCCCTCGCAGCGGCCTTGTCACCCCCACGTGTCACTTTTGAGTCGACTCAAAAGTCACATGCACACACGCACACCCCTGCCCTATCCTTTCCATCCGATCACATTTCACAACACGACAGCCCCACCCCTCCCCCACGCACCCTTGCCTGCCACCTGCAGAGCAAAGTCCAGCTGCCCTGCAGCCACCCTCACAGCGCCCTCGTCCACCCCCAGGTGGCGCTGCAGGACAAACGAGATGAGGCGTGAGGGGATGAGGTGGCGCTCCGTGGAGGGGGCTTCCCATGCTGCAGCGAGAGAACAGGGAAGACAGAAGGGAGAAGGGTGCCATGGTGTGGTGGACAGGGAGGGTAAGGAGATGCAAGCGAGAGGGCTGTATTTTTTCAACCCCAGGTGGCGCTGCAGGGCGAACGGGGGATGAGGTGGCGCTCTGTTGCACTGGCATCCCATGCTGCAACGGGGGAGGAAGAGAGGGAGAAGTGTGGTATGATGTATCGGAGAGGAGAGGGTGTGTGAGGAGATGGCCTCGTCCACCCCCAGGTGGCGCTGCAGGGTGAGGCTGATGAGGCGTGAAAGGCTGATGAAGCTGGTGAGGATTCGCAGTCCGATGAGATGAGATGGTGCTGAGTGTGGTGCCGTGTGAGATGGTGCTGAGTGTGGTGCCGTGTCAAGGGAGCCATGAAGGCACAACATGAGATGAGACATGGTAGCCATCCTCACTGCACCCCCCCCCACCTCGCTACACCCCCCTCAGCCTCCCTGAACTCCCCCACCCCCCTCTCTACCGCACAGCACACACGCACCCACAGCCTCGGTGATGGTGCCGTCCTTCCAGCGCCTCAGCTCTGCCTTGGGGCCCCAGAAAGCACGGAACTTGAGCGCCTGAAAGAGGGGGGCGAGGGGGTGGGAAGGGAAAGGGAGTGGGGGGAGGGGTGAGAGGGTAGGTGGCGGGAGCGGGAGGGGAGAAGGGGGGATTGGGAGTGGAGGAATTGTGGGGACTTGGGTGCGGCGATTGTGGGAACTTAGGCGCATTAGTGTCACTAAGTGTTTTCTAAAAGAATCATGGCTTTTTAATCTATACAAAAACTGATTTTGGTTGTCTTGTTTTGTGCTTACAGCCAATGCATCCGCAGCTGTGCCTGTGCAACCGCTGCTCCCACCAAGCCCTTCTGCTGCGCCAATGTTAGGTAGAGTACAACCAACACATTCCAATGTCAGCCTCGAAACAGACCAGAGTGGGGTTTTGCTCGGAACGAGGAGGAATGCGCAGCTTATAGCAATTCGTGCGAATTACAGACGCAAAACCCCACTCTGGTCCGTTTCAAGGCTGACATTGGAACGTGTTGGCTGTACTCTACCTAACATTGGTGCAACACACAGGCTCGGTGGGAGCAGCGGCAGCCCAGGCACACCTGCCGGTGCATTGGCTCTAAGCATTCAACAAGACAACCGAATATGTCTTCTCAAACATTCAGAGCTGACTCTAAAGTCAAGGTTTCATATAGAAGTCACTTAATCACTTGTGCCAATTAGTGCCATTTAGAGCTTTAGTGAGGGCTTATTAATTTCCTGGGTGCTTGGGAAGAAAAGGGGAAAGCAGAGGTTACAGATATGGGTGAGGATGAGGAAGCCGAGGGGGCATTTCTTAAAAGTAATTTCACGCCAGTTAAAGAAATGATACCAGTTGTTCAGCATGTGCCTACCAGCCAGGTGCATGCACGCCCAGCCAACCACCCCTGTCTGCATGGCGCTCACCTCGGCCTTGTTGTCCGCGCTGGGCCCCTTGTCCACGAGGCGCAGAGCCGTGTCAGGCGACGCCAGCGACACTCCGATCAGCACCGACGCGCCGCCCACCGCTGGCAGGCCCTGTGTGGGGGAAGGGGAGAAGATGGGGGTGCAATGAGAGCAGACGGTACGGTGAGAGGAGATGAGGGTAACACTTGAGCACACCACAGTTACACAGTCTGCTCCCCAAAGCAACACTCTTATTCCTGCAAGCGCGCTGTCCAGTGCTGGCAGGCCCTGTGGTGGAAGGGGCGAAGGTGGAAGGGGCGAAGGTGGAAGGGGCGAAGGTGGGGGGCGAAGGTGGGGGGCACAAGGAGGGAAAAGGCTGAAACTTTGAAAAGACAACAATGTGAACACAGCAGTCGTCTCAAAGCAACACTCCGATTAGCACAGCAGGCTGTGCCATGCACATGTGCACTCGGCACAGCCTATTATGTGCCAAGCACACAGCACCGAGTGGTGGCATGGCATGCCGTGTAGGATGGTGGAGAGGGGCGACAGTGGCAGAGTGGCATCTCAAGAGTGCAATGGAATGGGGATTGGGACAGAGGCGAACCGTGCCATGCCCTGTGAGGGGCTGTGCACCTGTGGTGACACAACACGGGGAGTGGGTAGAGGCGAGTGAAGTAGAGGTAGTGTGAAGTTTAAATAAACCCCAAATTTCATAAAAAACGATTGATTCTAAAAGGCTTTCAGTAAGGAACCAGTTCACCCTGTTTCTCACTCAGCACCACACGCACCTGCTCAAGGCGCCAGCCAGAAGGCACCTCCCTGGGGTGCACCCGCACAGCCGTGGCCCTCTCCCCCATGCCCCTCGCCACCACACCTGCTGCTGCCCCCTCCCTGCGCCGGTGGGGGGGCTCGTCCAGCAGCAGCGCCGCCTTGGGCGTGGCAGGAGGTGTGTCGTGCACACTGGGGTGGGATGGGATGGGATGGGATGGGATGGGATGGGATGGGGCAGGGCAGGGCAGGGCAGGGCAGGGCAGGGCAGGGCAGGGCAGGGAAACGACAGAAGAGGGAAGTGTGCGGCTTATGCTTGGCACCCAGAGATGGATGAACGAGGCCATGGCACCGCGTTTATTGAGGGGGATGAGAGGCATGTTGGAGTCGCAGGCTAACGAGGAGGTGCGGGCGGAGGGACGGCTGAGATGAACAAACAAGAAAGCTTCGTTTACTTCACCGGAGGAAGATCTCACAATCAAACACAACACCACCTCCCATGCACTGCACAGAAGGTACTCACGTGGTGATCAAATCGAATCTGTCGGCCAGGCTGCAGGGCTGCATAAATGCGAGCAGCACTCCCTGTCCCGGCAGACACACCACGGGCGCCCCCCCTGACTTGATCACATTGTACGTGTGCTGCGCATCCAGACGAATCTGATGGGGGTGGGAGGGGTGGGAGGGGAGAGAAGCGCACGACACTTAAGATGTGGACATTGACTGAAAAACTTGCTACTCCCCCACCCACCCCCCGACTTGATCATACTGTGGGTGTGAAACGCGTGTCCAGATGGATCAGAGAGTGAGCGAGGAAGGGGACGGGGAGAGGAGCGGCATGACTGAAGGCAGATTGGCATGACTGAAGGCAGATTGGCATGACTGAAGGCAGATTGGCATGACTGAAGGCAGATTGGCATGACTGAAGGCAGATTGGCATGACTGAAGGCAGATTGGCATGACTGAAGGCAGATTGGCATGACTGAAGGCAGATTGGCATGACTGAAGGCAGATTGGCATGACTGAAGGCAGATTGGCATGACTGAAGGCAGATTGGCATGACTGAAGGCAGATTGGCATGACTGAAGGCAGATTGGCATGACTGAAGGCAGATTGGCATGACTGAAGGCAGATTGGCATGACTGAAGGCAGATTGGCATGACTGAAGGCAGATTGGCATGACTGAAGGCAGATTGGCATGACTGAAGGCAGATTGGCATGACTGAAGGCAGATTGGCATGACTGAAGGCAGATTGGCATGACTGAAGGCAGATTGGCATGACTGAAGGCAGATTGGCATGACTGAAGGCAGATTGGCATGACTGAAGGCAGATTGGCATGACTGAAGGCAGATTGGCATGACTGAAGGCAGATTGGCATGACTGAAGGCAGATTGGCATGACTGAAGGCAGATTGGCATGACTGAAGGCAGATTGGCATGACTGAAGGCAGATTGGCATGACTGAAGGCAGATTGGCATGACTGAAGGCAGATTGGCATGACTGAAGGCAGATTGGCATGACTGAAGGCAGATTGGCATGACTGAAGGCAGATTGGCATGACTGAAGGCAGATTGGCATGACTGAAGGCAGATTGGCATGACTGAAGGCAGATTGGCATGACTGAAGGCAGATTGGCATGACTGAAGGCAGATTGGCATGACTGAAGGCAGATTGGCATGACTGAAGGCAGATTGGCATGACTGAAGGCAGATTGGCATGACTGAAGGCAGATTGGCATGACTGAAGGCAGATTGGCATGACTGAAGGCAGATTGGCATGACTGAAGGCAGATTGGCATGACTGAAGGCAGATTGGCATGACTGAAGGCAGATTGGCATGACTGAAGGCAGATTGGCATGACTGAAGGCAGATTGGCATGACTGAAGGCAGATTGGCATGACTGAAGGCAGATTGGCATGACTGAAGGCAGATTGGCATGACTGAAGGCAGATTGGCATGACTGAAGGCAGATTGGCATGACTGAAGGCAGATTGGCATGACTGAAGGCAGATTGGCATGACTGAAGGCAGATTGGCATGACTGAAGGCAGATTGGCATGACTGAAGGCAGATTGGCATGACTGAAGGCAGATTGGCATGACTGAAGGCAGATTGGCATGACTGAAGGCAGATTGGCATGACTGAAGGCAGATTGGCATGACTGAAGGCAGATTGGCATGACTGAAGGCAGATTGGCATGACTGAAGGCAGATTGGCATGACTGAAGGCAGATTGGCATGACTGAAGGCAGATTGGCATGACTGAAGGCAGATTGGCATGACTGAAGGCAGATTGGCATGACTGAAGGCAGATTGGCATGACTGAAGGCAGATTGGCATGACTGAAGGCAGATTGGCATGACTGAAGGCAGATTGGCATGACTGAAGGCAGATTGGCAATGACTGAAGGCAGATTGGCATGACTGAAGGCAGATTGGCATGACTGAAGGCAGATTGGCATGACTGAAGGCAGATTGGCATGACTGAAGGCAGATTGGCATGACTGAAGGCAGATTGGCATGACTGAAGGCAGATTGGCATGACTGAAGGCAGATTGGCATGACTGAAGGCAGATTGGCATGACTGAAGGCAGATTGGCATGACTGAAGGCAGATTGGCATGACTGAAGGCAGATTGGCATGACTGAAGGCAGATTGGCATGACTGAAGGCAGATTGGCATGACTGAAGGCAGATTGGCATGACTGAAGGCAGATTGGCATGACTGAAGCAGATTGGCATGACTGAAGGCAGATTGGCATTGACTGAAGGCAGATTGGCATGACTGAAGGCAGATTGGCATGACTGAAGGCAGATTGGCATGACTGAAGGCAGATTGGCATGACTGAAGGCAGATTGGCATGACTGAAGGCAGATTGGCATGACTGAAGGCAGATTGGCATGACTGAAGGCAGATTGGCATGACTGAAGGCAGATTGGCATGACTGAAGGCAGATTGGCATGACTGAAGGCAGATTGGCATGACTGAAGGCAGATTGGCATGACTGAAGGCAGATTGGCACTAGGGAGGGGACTTTGGCATGACTGAAGGCAGATTGGCATGACTGAAGGCAGATTGGCATGACTGAAGGCAGATTGGCATGACTGAAGGCAGATTGGCATGACTGAAGGCAGATTGGCATGACTGAAGGCAGATTGGCATGACTGAAGGCAGATTGGCATGACTGAAGGCAGATTGGCATGACTGAAGGCAGATTGGCATGACTGAAGGCAGATTGGCATGACTGAAGGCAGATTGGCATGACTGAAGGCAGATTGGCATGACTGAAGGCAGATTGGCATGACTGAAGGCAGATTGGCATGACTGAAGGCAGATTGGCATGACTGAAGGCAGATTGGCATGACTGAAGGCAGATTGGCATGACTGAAGGCAGATTGGCATGACTGAAGGCAGATTGGCATGACTGAAGGCAGATTGGCATGACTGAAGGCAGATTGGCATGACTGAAGGCAGATTGGCATGACTGAAGGCAGATTGGCATGACTGAAGGCAGATTGGCATGACTGAAGGCAGATTGGCATGACTGAAGGCAGATTGGCATTGACTGAAGGCAGATTGGCATGACTGAAGGCAGATTGGCATGACTGAAGGCAGATTGGCATGACTGAAGGCAGATTGGCATGACTGAAGGCAGATTGGCATGACTGAAGGCAGATTGGCATGACTGAAGGCAGATTGGCATGACTGAAGGCAGATTGGCATGACTGAAGGCAGATTGGCATGACTGAAGGCAGATTGGCATGACTGAAGGCGAGGACATTGACTTGACGAATCTGAACATGACTTCCCCCGACTTGATCACACTGTGGGTGTGGAACGCGCGTCCAGACGAATTTGATGGTGTGGGGGGGAGGGGCATGAATAAAGGAGAGTGAGGAGAATTAGGCGCACGACTGAAGGTGTGCACACTGCACATTGTTGCAGGCGCTCCTTCACTGCACTGTTCAGTGTGCCGTGTGCACCACACCACACCACACTGCACATTGATGAACAACTTATTGCAGGCGCTCGCTCTAACTTGATCACACTTCATGTGTGGTGCACGTCCAGGCAGATCTGATGCATGGGAAGGAAGGAAGGGGCATGGATGAAAGAGCGTGAGGAGGAGGACGGAGGAAGAGCATCGGCTCGGCGGAAAGTGTGGACACTCTAGGGACACAGTGAAAGTGTGCTGTGTCCATACTTGAACTACTCGACACGGCATCCCCCTCCCCACTTGACCACACTGTAGGGTGTGCTGAGCGGAAAAACGGATGGGATTGGGGGGAAGGAAGGAAGGGCATGGATGAACGAGAGTGATGAGGAAGGAGGAAGGAGAGACGAGGGGCTCAGCTGAAGGCATAAATCTAGTTTCAACTACTCTTGCCATGACGCCCCCCTTCCTTCCCACTTGGTCACACTGTACGTGTGCTGTGCGTGCACACGGATCCGAGAGTGATAGCAGACCAAGGGGAAGCGTGTGGAGGACCAAGGGGAAGCGTGTGGAGGACCAAGGGGAAGCGTGTGGAGGGAGCTTGGGCAGAAAAGATGTGTGTATGCGAGATAAGTGAAAGCGTTGTTTGGTTACAGGCATTAACAGGCCGCACCTGGTGGAGGAAGGGCGCACCTGGTGCAGGGCGGACTTGGAGACTCGGGAGGCGAAGTTGACGGTCCCCGATGGGTCGCAGAGCAGCCAGTCGAACGCTCTCTGCATGTCCCTGCGCGCCTGGTGGTGGTGAGGTAATGGCATACGGGGATTTATGAGAAAAATTGAATGGGAATGAGAGAGAATGAGAGGGAATAAGGGGGAACAACAGGGAACGAGAGAAGCAGAAACAAGGAAGAGCAAGAGCGAACGGGAAAATGAAAAGAGAACAGAAGAGAGAAAGTTCACAAAGCATATAGTTTCTTGACATCCCCTTGAAGGCTTGAAGGGCTAAGATGGGAATGAGGTGTGATGAAAGAACAAGTGACGATGGTCAATGAAAGAGGATGGGGAGTACGAGGAGGGAGGGGAGGGCACCTGAGCATTGGCCTGGAGCACGTTGGGGGAGCCATCAGGGGCGACGAGGAGGATGGGCTGCTGGAGGAGATCCGCGTTGCCTGCATGCAGGTGTGGAGGCAGACATACGTGACGGGGCGAGGAGGGAGCAGAGAACAAGAGGATGGAGGCATGGATGGAGGCATGGATGGAGGCATGGATGGAGGCATGGATGGAGGCATGGATGGAGGCATGGATGGAGGCATGGATGGAGGCATGGATGGAGGCATGGATGGAGGCATGGATGAAGGAATGGATGGAGGCATGGATGGAGGCATGGATGGAGGCATGGATGGAGGAATGGATGGAGGATTGGCTGGAGGTTTGTACGGATGAAGGAAGCGGAGGCAGCTGGTTTCTGGAAGAGAGCGGTGCTGGTTGGTGCTGGTTGGTGCTAATTGGTAAAGATGGGTAGCGTGGTGGGTGGGGTGTGGTAAAAAGTGAGATGAGCACATGAGCACGGCAAAAGCACAAAACATGTGATCAATGCATTTGCCCATAGCATCATGCCCCACACATACCCATGGCATCAATGACACATCGGAAGATCTGGAATGCTGACATGGCAGGCATGACGCGGCGGTGGGGGTTGTGGGGCGACGCCAGGTGTGCTGCCAGCAGAGACAGCTGGAAACCGTTCAGCCAATCAGCAGGTGCCATGTGGCGCTTGGTGCCGTACCGCTGGCGAGCCCAGACCTGCCGGGTGATAGGTGACAGGGGGATGGAGGGGATGTGGAGGGGAGAAACGCTGTTATGGTAGAAAAGGGAGGCCCTGGGAGGCTCTATCAATGATGATATGATATTTTGTGGTGAATGGATGGCATGTTCAATGCTGCAGTGCAGGACATCATATCACTACCACACATGCATGGAGCATTGTATCCGCTGTGCCTGCTGCACTGATGGCATGGCATGCACAGCACATTGGCGAACGAAGCCATGAAATGATCGGGACTCGCGCGCGAGGTTATCAAAGGCAAGGCATCGTTTCAACAGTTTCACCTCCTTACAGTCACATCACATCACCTTGAGCAGCACGAGCGCATGGGGCAGGGCAGGCACGAGCTCTGTGGCATGCGAGACGAGGTGATGGGCGGCCATACGATGTGAGCGCAGGAGAGGGGTATGCGCAACAGCCTCATGGCATGTGCACTGCATGAGCGTCCCCCACGAGGGGGTGCGAGCAATTCTACAAAGGCGATTCACTTAAGGTTCAGCCAGTCACCTTGAGCAGCACGAGAGCATGGGGCAGGGCGGGCACGAGGTTGATGGCATGTGAGACGAGGTGATGGGCGGCCGTGTGAGTGCCATCCTCCAGCACACCCATGTTGTAGCGTGGTGTTGCCATCAGCTCGCCTCCTGTCATGCCATGTGTGGGATGGGATGGGAAGAGCGCATGGTACTTGGTTGGGAAATCGTGGCAGTAATGGCGGCTGTGTGTGAGCAGTATGGTATCCCCCAGCAGTATGGTATCCCCCAGCAGTATGGTATCCCCCAGCACTGCGTGCGGGGTAGCTAGGAGGTCGCCTCGTGTTGTGTCATGTGTGGGCGGAGCGGGAGGGAAGCGACAAATGAGAAGTAAGGTGTATAGGGTTGTGCCTTTGTGCGCACATGCATGAGCATGCAAGAAATGATGACATGCAAGTAGCACCTTGGGAACGAGAGGGGTGGCCCGAGCCTACAGCGCCTGTCACTAGACGTCTTACTCTCTGCTCTTCGTTTCGCCGCCGCTGCCTGGTGCACCCACCCACCTGCAGACACGGCTTAGCAAGCCCACACGTGAACACGTGAGCATGCGGCAGGGAGGAAGGCCGGACTGGGGGGGACCACGAGCCCACCTGCAGTGCGGACGTGGCTTGGCAGACCCACCTGCAGTGCAGACGTGGCTTGGCAGACCCACCTGTAGTGCAGACGTGGCTTGGCACACCCACCTGCAGTGCAGACGTGGCTTGGCAGACCCACCTGCAGAGGCGGCTTGGCGCACGTTGTTGCGTGAGGGGGCGAGCTTGCGGGCGGGGAAGGTGGCGGGCGACAGGCACGGCAGCAGACGCAGCGGCCAGCTCTTGCACGCCCCTGTGAGGGGGAAGGGAAGGAGAGGGGGGGAAGGTGTTTGGGAAGGGGATGAGGGGAGGGTGATTGGGGGATGGGGAAGATGAGTAGAGGGTTGGAAGAGGGACCGCAGAGGGACAACAGAGCACACCACGGCACGCCATGGCAAGGGATGACAATGCGGTTGCTCACGGGGGATGATAAGGAGGATGGGTTTGCACACGTCATCCCTCAAAGTGCTCCACTCCACCGCCGCCACCCAATCACACGCCGCCAGGTGGCGTGCCAGCGTGGCGAGATACAGCGCCCGGCGGGCGAAGTAGCGGTGGTTCAACACGTCCTTTTCCCGGAAGCACGCCTGCAGCCAAGCGGTGGGCGGGCGTGCGGGCGGATGGGAGATTGGGAGGAGTGAGTGGTGTGGGAGGAGTGAGTGGTGTGGGAGGAGTGAGTGGTGTGGGAGGAGTGAGAGGTGTGGGAGGAGTGAGTGGTGTGGGAGGATGCAGCATGGTACTGGTCATGTGTGCAGCATGGTGCTGGTCATGTGTGCACACAACACAGCGGGCGAAGTAGCGGTGGTTTGCCACGTCATTTTATCAAAAGCACACCTGCAGAAGGGGGGATGGGATGAAGTGACGATGACTGAGGAGTGTGTGAGGTGACGCAGCACAGTGCAAGCGTGCATGTGACATGACGGGGAAAGTAGTGCGCGGCACACCAAACGCGTATGTCACCTAGAATTCCATCTGAACTGCACAAGATCTCACAGCACCGCACCTGAGGCATCTCGACAGCCACGTCCACATGCGTGCACGGCCTCGTCACACTCCCCACACCTGCTGCCCCGCCCTCTCCGCCCTTTCCGCCCTCTCCGCCCTCTCCGCCCTTTCCGCCCTCTCCCCCATCACCCCCATCACCACCCTCATGCGCATGCGATGCAGGGTGGGAGGCGGAGTGGTGGGCGAAGCTGCCGATGGCATGGACGTGCGAGGGGCGGTGGAAGGTGAAGGCGAGGCTCCTCACGCCCTCCGCCCCCACCAGCGCCTCCACGTATGGCAGAGCCGCGTCTGCTGTCACCTGCAGTGATGGGGGGCGGTTTGGGGCGGTGTGGGAGGGTGTGGAGGAGAAAGAGGTGGGTGCAAGCAAGGGCTCTAGCACGCTTCTGGGCCCTCCGCTCCCACCAGCGCCTCCACGTACGGCAGAGCCGCATCTGCTGCCAGCTGCAGTGATGCGAGGCGGTGTGGGGAAGGGGAAGGGGTGGGGGAGGATGGGGGGTGGTTGGGGGATGGGCAAGAGACACAAATAGCTGCAGGAATGCACTCTAGCTCGCGTCACAGGCCCCTCCGCCCCCACCAGCGCATCCACGTATGGCAGAGCTGCGCCTGCTGCCACCTGCAGCGATGCAGAGCGGTGTGGAACGGTGCAGGTAAGTGTGGGACGGTGTGGGGGCGGGGAGAAACGGAATACAGGGAGGAGAAGGGGGGAGAAGGCAGGGAAGGTAGTGAGGGAGCGGAAGGGAGTGAGGGAGGGGAAGTGAGGGACGAAAAGGGAATGAGGGAGGGGAAGTGAGGGACGAAAAGGGAATCAGGGAGGGGAAGTGAGGGACGAAAAGGGAATGAGGGAGGGGAAGTGAGGGACGAAAAGGGAATGAGGGAGGGGAGGTGGATGAAGGGAGCACCATCACCATCAGCAGCACCACCACGAGCATGAGCATGAGCATGAGCATGAGCATGAGCATGAGCATCACCGTGCTTCAGTTCCCATCTCTCCATCCCTGCTCCAACCACCCTCAAACCTCCCCCCCCGCCTCCTGCCTGCCCCCAACACTCGGCCCCAACCCTGTACCCCGACCCCCCTGCCGCCTGACCCCTCACACGGCTGTGCTAACCCACTCCTTTAAACCCCGACCCCCCCTGCCACCTGCCACCTGCCACCTGCCACCGAACCTCTTACAGAACTCGTGACCCTGACGTGCTGCCCCCGGCCATGGCTCTAATTTCACACTATCTTTCTTACGATAAATTGCAAAATCCCTACTCCCTGCCCACTATCCACTGCTTCGAGCACCAGCCGTTGCGTTTGATCACTCCTACCTTATACGCCATCAACAGCCGTCTTCACTCCCCACGCGACAAGGCACGACCACCCACAAGAACGCATCACTCACACGGGCTTCCAGCCACAATCGCGCTCACCTGCTCTCCCTCCGGCATGGCTCTTAGTGTTTCTCTTAGTTTCTCCACCGCGCCATCCACAGCCGCCACCACGCCCTTCCCTCTCTGCCTTGCTGCTGCGAGGTCCACGTGGGCGTCCTTCAGCACCGCTTGCACCTGCCAGGAGGAGGGGCAGGAGGAGAAGGGGGGGTAGGGGCACCAGGGTTCCAGGTGTTAACAGAGTTGTGCAGGCACATAACGAGGCAATGGCACCTAACTGGTGTTCCATCGCCCTTTCCTCTCTGCCTGGCAGCTGCGCGGCCCACATGCGCGTCCCTCAGCACCGCTTGTACCTGCCAGGAGGAGGAACGGGAGGAGGAGGGGCAGCAGCAGCAGTAATGGGCAAGTGGCACACACACAGAGACTGCGCGTGTGAGGTCCAGTTCAGCAACACCACACCTGCCTGAACGGCAGCCTGTTTTGCCAAGATTTTACTGTACAAAGCGAGTCGAAGCAGTCAAGGTGTCCTTGTCAGGGTTTAACCATGGTTCAGGGTTTTAGGAGGGGGAAGGAGGGGAGACTAGGGTTTATCGACAATCGAGCTGGTTGAGGACAGTCAAAGCAATTCAGCGAGGCAAGGGCTTGCGTGGTTTTGATGTTTAATGGGGGCTGCAAGGGCCGCGATTGATATTCAGGGACTATTTCGGGTTCGGTAGGCGACTAGTGGCGGTTGAGTGGGCGACCGTTGACGAGGCGACGATTCACGAGGGGTGGAGAGGACGGGGTGGCGAATGCAGAACTTAATTCGACTTTAAAGAGGACGACGGAGTGGCGAATGCGCATCGTCGCAGGCTGAGCGGGGAAAAGCATCGACGGCTGGAGCGCGCCATTTCGAGGGCTGGCTGCTGAAAGTGGGGCACGCTACAAGCTATAGGAGAGGAACCGGGGCCTCTCATCTTTGACATGTCGGGCGCGGGATCGGCAGACGCGCGCGAGCAATAGGTGGGAGATACTATGGGAGAGGGCGGGGAAAAGGCGGCGTCCGCCCGCTGGAGGTGGGAAAACGGGCGGCACCTGGTACTCTAGCAGCGAGGAACCCGCCGCGGCCGCCGCCATTGCTCCGCCACCCACCACAACCGCTGCGCGCCCACCCCGCTTCACCAGCGCGGGAACCTTCTCCCCTCCGCCCTTCTTCCGCGCGCCTTGCGCCTGTTTCCGCTTCCGCGAACCCCCAGCCCCGCTACCCGCAGCCCCTGCGCCCGCATCTACGTCTACGTGCGCCTCCCCTTCCTCCGCGTCGCCGTCGCGCGTCCGCTCGTCCTCCATCGCGAGCAGAATTGAGTTGTCCGCGAATCGAGCACGTAGTGTAGTAGCGAAGTAAAGCAAGAAGCCTGTGAAAGTCTCGCCTGCAGCTATAACCCACTCGGCCGCTTCCACTGGCGGAAAGACGACTCAAGATTTCAGATTAAAACCCCACTCTTTTGGCAACTTGCTAGACGCGAGGTTTGGTTTGTAGAGACAATTTCCTGCTTGTGCTTATTCGCTGCTTCGATAGTAGACACCGTCCACTCTCGCATCTTCCATTCAGAAATAGGGGTTATGGAAATAAAGAAATGTAGAATTCACAAAGAAATGCTCTCAATAATCATTTGTATACAGCATCTAATTAGTGTGTTTCCCTTTGCAGTGAGTGGTAGATAAAAACACTAACTCTGATTATCGATACAGTATATTAAAATCTTGAAATAATGCATGATGCCTGAAAACAGAAGGTATAGTATTACCGCTTATGAAAGTAATATTCAAGCGAAGGTACCGTATGGTCCTCATTGATGGTAGTGCATCAGCTCTCACACGACGGTCGCACAACATACTTTATAAATCAAGCATGGGTACTGTGTGGGGAGCTCATGAGAGGTTTCTTTCATCCTCAACCTCCGTCTCAAGGGCCGCTACTGCCTCTTCTTCCTCTACCTCTGCATCCGCTAGAGCATCAGTGGCCGAAGCACCATTACCAGCATGGTTGCCTGTTTTGCTGACTGACTCTTCACTCACTCCACTGCCTGCCCCTCTGCCAGTGCACTCTCTGTCACTCCTCGCACCATCCCCATTCCCATCCATCACCACACCCTGTTCAACCACCTGCACATCACCAACTTGCACGGCATCACCACTAGTGTCCGCTTTCCCCTCCGTTCCCTCCCCATCCTCTCCTCCCAGCTCATCAGGCCCACTCTCACTGCCGCCCCTGCTTGGAACCTCGCCACCCACCACCTTCCCCCCCTCACTGCCTGCTGACTCCACCACGCTTCTCATGCTTTCACCTGCACCACCACCTACTTCCGGCCGTTCACGTTTCACACTCAACCTGGTGTCGCTCGGACTGCTATCAGCAGCAGTTTTTCCACCATCACTATTATCACTCTCACCAGCATCATTCCCAGTAGAATCCCCTGATGAAGCGCCACCCTCACCACCACCAGATCCACCCACACTGCCTTCCGCACCTCCCTCCTTCCCTTCCTCCTCTTCAGAGTCATCCTTGCTCCCTTGTCCAGTCCCCTCATTAACCTCTTCCCCACTTGACCCTTCTGCTCCTCTTGCTCCCACTCCTCCCGCCCCTACCTTCCCCAGCCCCGCACCCTCCAGCCCCTCACTGTCAGCAGCACCGCTCTCACTTCTCCGCCCGTCCCCACCAGCATCCACTGCACCGTCCAGCCCAGCTGCCCTCATGCCACTCACACCATCAACACCACCCTCTCCACCATCAACACCACCCTCTCCACCATCAACACCACCCTCTCCACCATCACTGCTGCTGCTTTTCCCACCGCCGCCATCGCCGCTGCTGCTACTCTCCTACGTGCCGCCCTTGCTCTGCTCCCTGTCCGCCTCCCCATCAGACCCCTGCGCTGCTCCGCCACCCGCCCCCTCGCTTCTTTCTCCCTGCTCCGCCTCCTCTGTCTGGCCCCCATCGCCCGCATTCACATCACTGCCACCCACCCGCTCCCCACCCTCCCCACCCTCCCCGCCCTCGCCGCCTCCCCTGCGCCCAGCGGCCCCCAGGTGCTGCTCCAGGCCTTTCAGCAGCTCGTCTATCTTGTGCTGCTCCTCGCCCCCTGCACCGGACCTCTCCCCCCTTTCTACCCCACCCTCACCACCTTTTAAACCACCCTTGCTGCCTTTCAACCCATTTTCACCGCTCCCTCTGCCTGCAGCACCGCTCTCTACACTATCAGCTGTGGCTTCCCCATCAGCTGCTCCTGTTCCTTCGCCCAGCCCATCGCCACCCCCAGCCCCCCCACTTCCCTCTCCCCCATCCCTCACTCCCAAATCCTCCCCACCGCCACGCCCCATTCCTATCTCCTCCGCGATATTATCCAAACCTGCTTCTCTTGTCCCACCCACCTTACCCATGCCACTCAAACCACCTCTGTCCGCTCCTCTGCGTTTTCGCCTGAATCGTTTCTCCCTTCCCCGGCCACCCTTGCCCTTCCCCTCTTCCAGTTTGCTCATAATCTCATTCCACACACTCCCCTCCTCACCCTTCCTCCTCACTTCTCCTCTCTCGCTCTCCTCCTCTTCCTCCCGTGAAATTCCCTCCTTATCCTCCGTCTCCTCCTCCTCTTCCTCCTCTTCATCCTCCACCGCCTCTTACCGTCTCGATCCCCTCCGGCCCCGATTCCCCTTCACCTTCACGCCTCCCCTTCTGCTTCGGCTCTCCATCTCCCCCCATCGCCTCGCCCCACTCCCCGTTCCCGCCCCTACCCCACCCACTCCCTGCATCTCCCCTCGCTCACCTTCCCCCTCCCCTCCGCCCCACTCCCCAAGCCTTGCCTCAATGCCCCCTTTCCCCCATCTTCCGCTACCCTGCTCCGCCACACCCCCCTGTTCCCCGTCCCTTCTTTGTGCGCCCTTCTCGCGAAACCCCGCTTCCATCCCTCTTCCCGCAACCAGCAGCATCGATGGCGGAACTTTCGCCAATCCATCCCTCCCCCCCACCAGCCTCCCCGCCTCCACGTGTCCAGCTCCGATTGGTGCGTATTGGGGGTGCTGCCATGTGTGCGGCTGATGTACCACGACTAGGCGTGACCCTAACAAGAGGAATGCTGCTGTAACGAAGCCTAGATACAGGCACGTGCATGGGAGAATGGTGAGGAGAGAGCAGCAGGAGGCGGAGGAGGAGGAGAGCGACGGGGGAGTGGCGGGGGAGGGCATGCGGATAAAGGAGAAGTGGGAAGGCATTATGCGGAACGAATCAGAGAACCCTCCAATGCGCGCAGTTGCGCCTCCCCCTGATCCAGCCGCCCGACCTCCGCCGCTCCCCCATACAAGCGCGCTGAGGAACGAGCGCCGGGGGGGCGTGGGGAAGGCGGAATGCCTGACTACGAGCTTCACTCTCTTGACTTCAGCAAAGCTTTCTTACAGGGCAGCCTGCACGAGGAGATCTGGTTGCGCCGCCCTCCTGGCTTCACTAGGTCTTTCCCTCCTGGTACCTAGTGGAGCCTCCGGCGACCAGTCTACGGTCTCCGCCAGGCACCACGTGAGTGGCACAACAGACTGAGGACTACACTTGAGGCTCTTGGGTTTGCTCCGTCGACTGCTGACCCGTCGTGTTTCTACGCACCGACACATCGCTGCCGCCGTTCTACATCCTCGTGTACGTCGACGACTTGGTCTTTGCCACTACTGACACTGAGGCTCTCGCCCTGGTGAAGTCGGAGCTGCAGAAGAGACACACGTGCACAGACTTGGGTGAACTACGCAGCTACCTTGGCTTGCAGATTACCCGGGACAGAGCACGCCGCACCATCACACTGACTCAGTCACACATGGTGCAGCAGGTCCTTCAGCGCTTCGGCTTCACCTGGTCCTCGCCACAGCACACTCCTCTGGCTACAGGCCATTCGCTCTCAGCTCCACCTTCGGACGAGTTCGTAGAGCTGAGTGGCCCGTACCCGAAGCTAGTGGGCTGCCTCATGTACCTGATGACCTGAACTCGACCTGACCTTGCGTACCCTCTTGGCCTTCTGGCTAGCTACGTGGCTCCTGGTCGGCACCGAAAGGTGCACATGGATGCTGCGAAGAGGGTACTGTGCTACTTGTGCGGTACATCGGGCATGGGGCTCGTGCTTGGAGGGCGCAACACAGTTGTCCTCACTGGGCACTCAGACGCTTCTTGGGTTGACGACCAGGCTACGCAGCGGTCGTCACAGGGTTACACCTTCAGCCTTGGCTCTAGTCCAGATTCTTTGCGTTCTACACGCTCGTCTTCAGTTCTCAGCTTCAGTTGTGAGGCTGAGATCTCACCACAGCCATGGCTGCACAAGAGTTACGCTGGCTCACCTACCTGCTGACCGACTTGGGAGAGCGGCCTCGTTCTCCTCCAGTGCTAACAAGGCCGCCATTGCCTTGTGTGAGGAGCACAGAACGAAGCACATCACTCTGCGGTACCCAAATCTTTCCTGAACCCTTCCTTACCGCTAGGTCTTTCTCCCACTGTAACAGCTTCTGGTTCTGTGCTGTAGTGATTTCTGCGTCCACGGAGTACCCATGTTGGAATAGACCCTTGAGCAGAGGGTTCATCCCGTCAAGCTGGATGCCTGCTACATGTCCGGGGCGGCTCAATGCGTCTGCTTTGTTGTGTAGCCCGGGCTTGTAGACGATGTCGTAGTGGAAGTGAGTTTCCAGGAAGTCCACCCACCGCACCTGTCGTCGTGAGAGCGTCGGCTGCGACTTCAGGTATTTGAGACTGCAGTGGTCAGTATAGACTGTAGTCTTGGCTCCCTCTAGGTAACACCTCCACGCCTTGAAAGCTATGACTATCGCTAAGACTTCCTTGTCATGGATGGGGTAGTTCAGTTCTTCTCCGTGTAACTTCTTACTGAGGTAGGCGATGGGCTGCAACCCGTGTCCGTGATCCTGCATTAGTACTGCTCCGACTGCTTGGTCACTAGCGTCTGCTTCCACCACGTAGTCCTTGTCTGGATCCGGTAGGATGAGTACTGGCGTTGTAGTCAGTGCTGTCTGTAGCTGCTCCATGGCTTGCTGATGAGGAGTATCCCACTTGTAGGGTGTGTCCTTTTTCAGAAGGTCGGTCAGTGGCGCTGCTATCTTAGCGTACTGGGGCACGAACATGTCGTAGTAGTTGGCGAAGCCTAGGAACTGCTGCAACTCTTTCACGTTCTCTGGTACTTTCCACTTCTTGACGGCTTCGATCTTCCGCGGGCCCACATGTACGCCTTCGGCACTCACCATGTGCCCGAGAAACTGCACCTTCTTCAGGGCGAAGTCGCTCTTTGACAGCTTCACGTAGAACTTGTTTTTCCGCAGGATCTCGAACACCTTCCGTAGATGCTCTACGTGCTCCTTCATGTTATTGGAGTAGATGAGAATGTCGTCCAGGCACACCACCACGCACTCGTCTAGCAGGGGTCGTAAGATGTGATTCATCTCTGCCTGAAACGTTGTTGGTGCGTTGTAGAGTCCGAACGGCATCACCAAGTATTCGTAGGAGCCGTATCTGGTACGGAACGCCGTCTTGTGGATCGAGTTGTCGGTCATCTTGATCTGCCAGTAACCCGATCTTAGGTCCAGCTTCGAGAAGACTGTTGCACCACGCAGTTGATCGAGTAGGTCGTCTATGGGCGGTATGGGGTATTTGTTTTTTACTGTCTGTTTGTTCAGTGCGCGGTAGTCGATGCACATCCGTAAACTGCCGTCTGGTTTTGGAGTGAAGAGGACTGGTGCACCGTAGGGAGAGGTGGATGGGCGGATCAGTTGTCTGTCCAGTAGATACTCTAGCTGTTTCTTTATGTCTATCATCTCGGTCGGACTCAGTCGGTATGGTGCACGTGATACGGGTTTCGCACCTGGTTCCTCCACGATCTCGTGCTCGTGGGTGCGTGCTGGAGGTACGCCTGTAGGTAGGTCGTCGGGCATTATATCCTTGTACTGCTCCAAGACCTCCTCCTCTGCTGCTGCCATAACAAGTGCTAAGTAACCCGTGTTACTCTCGTTCACTGCCCGTTCGAACCGTGCCAATGTCGTTTCAGGAACGCTCCCTGTATCCGTCCAGCTTCGCAGCTCCACTCGTTTCCCGTTGTTGTAGATGCACGTTTTCCGGTTGACCCAGTCGATCTCGGGGTTGAGCCGCTTCAGAAAATCTCGCCCCAAGATGAAATCTAATCCCTTGATGTTCGTGATCGGCAACGTTGGCTTCCACCACAACGCCCCTATCTGCAGCTGCAGTGTTGACTTGCCGTGGATGGGAAGGTTCGTACCGTCCACCATCGTTGCTGTAAACTGGGTTTCTTCTGAGGATTCTCCATTTTTTTCCAACGTTCCGCGGTCACACACCGAGTGAGATGCACCCCTGTCCACCAGTGCCTGGAGGCATCGCCCATTGCATAACACCTCGAGGAGTAGTGGTTTCTGCTGCGCTGAGTAGCCAAAGAGGGTCTCGTTAATAGGATCATAGGGTACATCAAACTTAATACCTTCCCTTTTTCCTATACCTGACTCAGCGCTTTCCAACTTCACCTGGGGGGTAGGAGGATTTTTCCGAGGCTTGTATAATTTCTCCTGGGCCTGGATGTCTCCTCTAAGCCTTGGCAGCTGTGTAGGCTTCACCTGTGGGCAACGGGGAGCCTTAACATTGTGCTGCGGGGAGAGAATATTAACTCCACGGAACGCACGACCCTTTTCTACGCTCCGTAGTACTTTGCCCAACTTCTCAGGTACCTGAATAATTTCTAAAGGCTTTTTCTTGGCCTCTAAACCTCCCCTGGATTTTTTAAAGGCTTGAAAACCACGAGAAGCAATATTCTTCGTTAGAGCATCTTTATAGGATACTTTTAACGAATTCTTACTTTCGTGGGTGTTCGGCGGGAGTTTCCGAGTCGGTGCAGAGTCTTTTTTCGCGGAGCCTCCATTCGCCTCGGCGATTTCCCCTGATGCCGGCTGGTCGTCACGTTTTAGATTTGCGCCATCATTTTCTCCTTTTTTCACCCGCTCCGAAGTCGCCACGTCGTCGCCTTTTCCTGCTTTTCGGATCTTTACGCGATCGCCAGGTCGATCCGCGGCTACTGGCGATTCCCATTTTTTTACTTCGGGGGTGCTTGAAAACCGAATCGAGGAGGACTTAGAAAAATTGCGCGGAACTGGTTTTTCATACCCGTATCGGCGCTTTCGTCGTCGCCCCTGCGGTTTTTTAAAGGCCGGAACTAAGCGGTTGAAGACCTCACGTGTAAACCCGCTCTGATACCAAGTGTGAGGATCTAGGATCGAGTTCTAATGAGAATTGAGTCGAATTGAATGATCACATGGGTACAACACGAGGCTATATATAGGCTCGACACAAGGCCCCGTAACCAGGTGTTACGAGAAGGTTCCGCGGGCCGCGTAGCGTCCCGAACAGATCCTTACCGAATTCGGTAGAAGGCAATTCGGTGGCAACCGAAAAGGCCAGAATTCGGTGCACGCAACCTAGCTCGGTGCTATAACTATAATAAAATATAGGAAAGCACCTAGCCTAGGAAATCAAGCAATTCATGCATGCATATGATTATCCTATGCTAGAAATAGCATGATAAAGTAAAGGCAAGCAAGCATAGCTGGCATAAGCCGTCGTACTCTCACACTTTGCTTGTGTTGAGTGTGTATGGTGACGTTGTGATCCATCCTGAGTTTGCTTTGCTTCTCTTGACTGGTCTTGTGACCCCTTGCTCTCCCCCACTTTGCCTATGGGGGTGTGTTAAAGTATATATATATGCTATATATGTTTAGGCTGTAGTGGGGTAGACAATATGGGGCACAGCCAACTTTAGGGTTTCATATTTGTACCCAACTCTTTCGTAGTTCATTCATTCGTGCTGCTAGATTCTAACAAGGCAGACATACGTGACGAGGCGAGGAGGGAGCAGAGAACAAGAGGATGGATGCATGGATAGAGGCATGGAGGGAGGCATGGATGGAGGCATGGATGGAGGCATGGATGGAGGCATGGATGGAGGCATGGATGGAGGCATGGATGGAGGCATGGATGGAGGCATGGATGGAGGCATGGATGGAGGCATGGATGGAGGAATGGATGAAGGATTGGATGGAGGCATGGATGGAGGCATGGATGGAGGCATGGATGGAGGCATGGATGGAGGCATGGATGGAGGAATGGATGGAGGTTTGTACGGATGAAGGAAGCGGAGGCTGCTGGTTTCTGGAAGAGAGCGGTGCTGGTTGGTGCTGATTGGTAAAGATGGGTAGCGTGGTGGGTGGGGTGTGGTAAAAAGTGAGATGAGCACATGAGCACGGCAAAAGCACAAAACATGTGATCAATGCATTTTCCCATAGCATCATGCCCCACACATAACCATGGCATCAATGACACATCGGAAGATCTGGAATGCTGACATGGCAGGCATGACGCGGCGGTGGGGGTTGTGGGGCGACGCCAGGTGTGCTGCCAGCAGAGACAGCTGGAAACCGTTCAGCCAATCAGCAGGTGCCATGTGGCGCTTGGTGCCGTACCGCTGGCGAGCCCAGACCTGCCGGGTGATAGGTGACAGGGGGATGGAGGGGATGTGGAGGGGAGAAACGCTGTTATGGTAGAAAAGGGAGGCCCTGGGAGGCTCTATCAACGATGATATGATATTTTGTGGTGAATGGATGGCATGTTCAATGCTGCAGTGCAGGACATCATATCACTACCACACATGCATGGAGCATTGTATCCGCTGTGCCTGCTGCACTGATGGCATGGCATGCACAGCACATTGGCGAACGAAGCCATGAAATGATCGGGACTCGCGCGCGAGGTTATCAAAGGCAAGGCATCGTTTCAACAGTTTCACCTCCTTACAGTCACATCACATCACCTTGAGCAGCACGAGCGCATGGGGCAGGGCAGGCACAAGCTCTGTGGCATGCGAGACGAGGTGATGGGCGGCCGTACAATGTGAGCGCAGGAGAGGGGTATGCGCAACAGCCTCATGGCATGTGCACTGCATGAGCGTCCCCCACGAGGGGGTGCGAGCAATTCTACAAAGGCGATTCACTTAAGGTTCAGCCAGTCACCTTGAGCAGCACGAGAGCATGGGGCAGGGCGGGCACAAGGTTGATGGCATGTGAGACGAGGTGATGGGCGGCCGTGTGAGTGCCATCCTCCAGCACACCCATGTTGTAGCGTGGTGTTGCCATCAGCTCGCCTCCTGTCATGCCATGTGTGGGATGGGATGGGAAGAGCGCATGGTACTTGGTTGGGAAAAAGTGGCAGTAATGGCGGCTGTGTGTGAGCAGGTATGGTAGCCCCTCCCCCGCCCCCGGGAGTATGGAAGCCCCTCCCCCGCCCCCGGCAGTATCCCCGGCAGTATGGAAGCCCCTCCCCCGCCCCCGGCAGTATCCCCGGCAGTATGGAAGCCCCTCCCCCGCCCCCGGCAGTATCCCCGGCAGTATGGAAGCCCCTCCCCCGCCCCCGGCAGTATGGAAGCCCCTCCCCCGCCCCCGGCAGTATGGAAGCCCCTCCCCCGCCCCCGGCAGTATGGAAGCCCCTCCCCCGCCCCCGGCAGTATGGAAGCCCCTCCCCCGCCCCCGGCAGTATGGAAGCCCCTCCCCCGCCCCCGGCAGTATGGAAGCCCCTCCCCCGCCCCCGGCAGTATGGAAGCCCCTCCCCCGCCCCCGGCAGTATGGAAGCCCCTCCCCCGCCCCCGGCAGTATGGAAGCCCCTCCCCCGCCCCCGGCAGTATGGAAGCCCCTCCCCCGCCCCCGGCAGTATGGAAGCCCCTCCCCCGCCCCCGGCAGTATGGAAGCCCCTCCCCCGCCCCCGGCAGTATGGAAGCCCCTCCCCCGCCCCCGGCAGTATGGAAGCCCCTCCCCCGCCCCCGGCAGTATGGAAGCCCCTCCCCCGCCCCTGGTATCCCCCATCTTGCACTGCGTGCGGGGTTGCTAGGAGGTCTCCTCGTGTTGTGTCATGTGTGGGCGGGCCGGGAGGGAAGCGACACATGGGGAGTAAGGTGTATAGGGTTGTGCCTTTGTGCGCACATGCATGAGCATGCAAGAAACGATGACATGCAAGTAGCACCTTGGGAACGAGAGGGGTGGCCCGAGCCTACAGCGCCTGTCCCTAGCCGTCTTACTCTCTGCTCTTCGTTTCGCCGCCGCTACCTGGTGCACCCACCCACCTGCAGACGCGGCTTAGCAAGCCCACACGTGAACACGTGAGCATGCGGCAGGGAGGAAGGCCGGACTGGGGGGGGACCACGAGCCCACATGCAGTGCGGACGTGGCTTGGCAGACCCACCTGCAGTGCGGACGTGGCTTGGCAGACCCACCTGCAGTGCGGACGTGGCTTGGCACACCCACCTGCAGTGCGGACGTGGCTTGGCAGACCCACCTGCAGTGCGGACCTGGCTTGGCAGACCCACCTGCAGTGCGGACGTGGCTTGGCAGACCCACCTGCAGTGCGGACCTGGCTTGGCAGACCCACCAGCAGAGGCAGCTTGGCGCACGTTGTTGCGTGAGGGGGCGAGCTTGCGGGCGGGGAAGGTGGCGGGCGACAGGCACGGCAGCAGACGCAGCGGCCAGCTCTTGCACGCCCCTGTGAGGGGGAAGGGAAGGAGAGGGGGGGAAGGTGTTTGGGAAGGGGATGAGGGGAGGGTGATTGGGGGATGGGGAAGATGAGTAGAGGGTTGGAAGAGGGACCGCAGAGGGACAACAGAGCACGCCACGGTACGCCATGGCAAGGGATGACAATGCGATTACTCACGGGGGATGATAAGGAGGATGGGTTTGCACACGTCATCCCTCAGAGTGCTCCACTCCACCGCTATCACCCAATTGCATTGCACCAGGTGGCGTGCCAGCGTGGCGAGGTACAGCGCCCGCCTGGCGAAGTAGCGGTGGTTCAAGATGTCCTTTTCCCGGAAGCACGCCTGCAGACAAGAGTGGGGCGAGCGGATGGTAGAGTGTGTGGGAGGATGCAGCATAGTGCAACTGTGCATGTGACATAAGAGGCAAGGCAGTGGTGGTTCAACATGTCCTTTTCCCAAAAGCACGTGGCAGGGAAGGAGAGGGAGGGAGACGGGGAGATGGGGTGACGATGGCAGCAGCACAGTGCTGTGCTGGCCACGCCTGCGTGATATGACGGGCCGAATAGCGGTGCTTCCACACATCCATTCTCTGAAGCACGTCTGGCGCACAGAGGAGGAACGGATGGAGCGAGCAAGGAGGAGAGTGTGAGAGCATGCAGCCAAGTGCATGCGTGGTTCAACCCGCCCTTACCTTGGAACCACGCCTATAGGGAGGGGGGGCGGATGGGGCGAGGAAGAGGTGAGTGCGAGCGGATGCAGCACAGCGCGTGCAGTAGAGTGGAGAGTGCTGGCCCAGACTCCAGACGGCTTTTAATAGCAAGAGCGTGTGTTTGGTGTGGTTACAGTGTGCCACTTGAGTGCGGTTGAAAGAGGTGTGAGTAGGTTTAAGATATTGAATTGGAACCTACAGCACCGCACCTCAGTTATGAATGCAATGTATTTGCTTGTACTCGTAATCCTCTGGCATAGGGTTTCACTTTGGAAACAACAAAACAGGAAAAAAAAAAAAAAAAAACCAAAAAGAACCGCACCAGACCGCACACCACCGCACCTGAGGCATCTCCACAGCCACGTCCACATGTGTACACGGCCTTGTCACACTCCCCACACCCGCTGCCCCGCCCTCCCCGCTCTCTCCCCCATCACCACCAGCACCACCAGCATGTGTGTGCGATGCAGGGTGTGAATGAGCATGAGCGGTGCAGTGGGCGAAGCTGCCGACAACGTGCACGTGCGACGGGCGGTGGAAGGTGAAGGCGAGGCTCCTCACGCCCTCCGCCCCCACTAGCGCCTCCACGTACGGCAGAGCCGCGTCCGCTGTCACCTGTAGTGCGGTGTGGTGGTGCGGGGTGGAGAGGTGTGGGATGGTGTGGGGGAGGAAAGGTAGCACTCCTCACAGGGCCCTCAAGCCCTCCGCCCCCACCAGCGCCTCCACGTATGGCAGAGCGGTGCGGTGCGGTGTGGTTTGGTGCCTGCTGCCACCTGCAGCTGACAAAGAGAGGAATGTGGGGGCCGGTGTTGGGCGGTGGAGGAGGGGGAAACGGATGGTTGCAGGCGCTCTAGCATGCATCGCAGGACCCTCACGCCCTCCGCCCCCACCAGCACCCCACTGCCACCTGTAGCGATGTGGGGCAGTGTGGAACGGTGCAGGGGGGTGTGGGACTCCTCACAGGGCTCTCAAGCCCTCCCCCCCCCACCAGCGCCTCCACGTACGGCAGCAGAGCCGCATCTAATGTCACCTGCAGTGATATGGGGCGGTTTGGGGCGGTGTGTGGATGTAGGGAAAGGTGTGGGGAGAAATGGGCGGGTGTAGGGTTTCTGACACGCCTCTGGGGGCCTTCCGCGCCCACCAGCGCCTCCACGTACGGCAGAGCCGCGCCTGCTGTGACCTGGAGTGATGTGGGGCAGTGTGGGAAAGGGGAAGGGGTGGGGGAGGAGGGGGGGTGGTTGGGGGGGTGGGCAAGAGACACAAATAGCTGTAGGAATGCACTCTAGCTCGCGTTACAGGCCCCTCCGCCCCCATCACTGCCTCCACGTATGGCAGAGCCGCGCCCGCTGCCACCTGCAGCGATGCAGAGCGGTGTGGAACGGTGCGGGGGAGGGGAGAAACGGATTACGCGGAGGAGAAGGGGGGAGAAGGCAGGGAAGGTAGTGAGGGAGTGGAAGGGAGTGAGGGAGGGAAATTGAGGGACGAAAAGGGAATGAGGGAGGGGAGGTCGGTGAAGGGAGCACCATCAGCATCAGCAGCACCACCACGAGCATGAGCATGAGCATGAGCACCACCACGAGCATGAGCATGAGCATGAGCACGAGCAAGAGCATGAGCACGAGCATGAGCATGAGCACGAGCACGAGCATGAGCATGAGCATGAGCACGACCACGAAGGGAGCACCATCACCATCAACAGCACCACCACGAGCATGAGGATCGCCGTGCTCAGTTCCCGTCTCTCCATCCCTGCTCCAACCACCCTCAACTCAAACCTCCCCTCCACTTGCCTGCCCCCAACACTCTGCCCCAACCTCGCACCCCGACCCCCCTGCCACCTGACCCTTCACACGGCTGTGCTAGCCTGCTCCTTTTAAACCCCGACCCCCCTACCACCTGCCGTCGAACCTCTTACACAACTCGCGACCCTCACATGCTGCCTCCGTCCATGCCATGGCTCTAATCTCATACTATCTTTCTACATTGCAGATTTTTGCCTCTTACCATACATTTACATACTCCCTACCCACTATCCACTGCTTCAAGACCCACTCGTTGAGTTTAATCACTCCTTCCTAATGTGCCATGCCATCAACAGCCGTCTGCACTCCCCACGCGACAAGCCACGGCCACCCACAAGCACGCATCCCTCACACGGGCTTCCAGCCAGCGCCGCTCACCTGCTCGCCCTCCGGCATGGCTCTAAGTGTTTCTCTTAGCTTCTCCACCGCGCCGTCCACACCCGCCACCACGCCCTTCCCTCTCTGCCTCACAGCTGCGAGGTCCACATGCGCGTCCCTCAGCACGGCTTGCACCTGCCAGGAGGAGGAGCAGGCGGAGGAGCAGCAAGGGCGGCATCGGCAGCAGCAGCGGCACTGGGCGAGAGACACACAGGCAGAGGCAGCGAGTGTGAGGCCCAGTTCTGCACGACCACGGCTGCTTGCATGACAGCCTGTTGCGACAAAATTTCATGACACAAGGAGAGGCGAAATGGTCAACTACTCCTGAGAGGCCGAAGACAGGGTTAAACCCAGGGTTCGGGATTTAAGGAGGGGGAAGCTGGGTATAGAGACGATCTAGCTAATGCAGAACAAGTCGAAGCGTTTCGGAGAGGCGACGCTTTGCGTGCCTTTCACGGGGTTTAAGGATGAAGCGACTGGCAATCGGGATTGGAAAGAGGACTATTTCGGGTGGACGAGGCGAGAATCTAAGCGGTGTGGGGACGACGAGGCGGCTAATGCGTAGTGCCGCGAGCTGAGCGGTGACGCGCTTCGACGGCTCAAGACGGCGCTTCAAAGAGCGTGCGAACCACACGAATTTCCGTGCGCGAACGAGGCGAGGGGGAGGTGCGAGATGACGTGGGAAGGGGGCGGGGAAAGGGCGGCGTGCGCCCGCTGGAGACGAGAAAAAGGCGGAACCTGGTATTCTAGCAGCGAGGACCCCGCAGCGGCCGCCACCATTGCTCCGCCGCCCACCACAACCGCTGCGCGCCCTCCTTGTTTCACCAGCGCGGGGACCTTCTCCCCTCCGCCCTTCTTCCGCGCGCCGTGCGTCTGTTTCCGCTTCCGCGAACCCCCGGTCCCGCTGTCCGCAGCCTCTGTGCCGGCATCTACGTCTCCGTGCGCCTCCCCTTCGTCCGCGTCGGCGGCGCGCGTCCGCTCGTCCCCCATCGCAAGCGGAAATGAGTTGTGTGCGAGTGAAGCAGGTAGTAGGCGAAGTAAATAGCGAGACTCCTGTGATACTCCTCTTTGACAATTTGGCAGGCGCGAGGTTTGGATTGGATTGGAGAGAGACAATCCTCTTGATCCGCTGCTTCGACAGTAGATTCCGTTGGCTCTCTCCGCATCATACATGAAAAAAACGGGGTTAGGAAATAATATCGTGAATTCGAATTCACATAGAAATGTTCTCCATGATCACTTGCAAGAGAGTTTGGTGCATTTTCCTTTTTTATGTACGGCATCTTCCTGCCCCGCGCGTGGCCTGCCCTCACGCTGCCTGCGCGCCTGCCTCACGTCCACGCGCGGGCCTGTTTTGCCCGCCCGTACCCTCCACTTCGCGGCGCCCTGCGAAGCGCCGTCCTTGCTCGTCGCGATGCACCTGCGGGACCCGGGCGTCGCCGCTCCTGCTCGTCGCGACGCCCCTGCAGGACCCGCACGGCGTCGCCTTGCTCGTCGCGATGCCCCTGCGGGACCCGCGGGGCGTCGCCACTCCTCGTCGCGGCGCCCCCTGGACGCCGCCCCTGCTCGTCGCGGCGCCCGTGGGGCGTCGCCCCTGCTCGTAGCGGCACCCCTTGGGCGCCGTCCCTGCTCGTCGTGGCGCCCTCCCCCCTGGCCACCGCCTCTGCCTCACCTGCGCCCGCGCAAGCGTTGCAGCCGCGCGCGGGCCTACCTTGCACCAGCGCCGCCCCTGGAGCAGCCGCCCCTGGCCACTGGAGCAGCCGCCCCTGGTGCAGCCGCCCCTGGACCTCAGCAGCCGCCCCTGGACCCCGCGAGCCGCCCCAGCAGCAGCCCACGGCGCCGACCTTACAGCTGTATGCGCCGCCGCTCCTGGACTCGGTACGGCTGCCTGCCTGTGCTGCCCGTTGCCGCCCGTTGCTGCCCGTGCCTGTGCTGCCTGTTGCCGCCCGTTGCTGCCCGTGCCTGTGCTGCCTGTTGCTGCCCGTGCCTGTGCTGCCCGTTGCTGCCTGTTGCTGCCTGTGCCTGTGCTGCCCATTGCTGCCCGTTGCTGCCTGTGCCTGTGCTGCCCGTTGCCGCCCGTTGCTGCCCGTGCCTGTGCTGCCCGTTGCCGCCCGTTGCTGCCCGTGCCTGTGCTGCCTGTTGCCGCCCGTTGCTGCCCGTGCCTGTGCTGCCTGTTGCTGCCCGTGCCTGTGCTGCCTGTTGCCGCCCGTTGCTGCCTGTGCCTGTGCTGCCCGTTGCTGCCTGTTGCTGCCCGTGCCTGTGCTGCCCGTTGCTGCCTGTTGCTGCCTGTGCCTGTGCTGCCCGTTGCCGCCCGTTGCTGCCCGTGCCTGTGCTGCCCGTTGCCGCCTGTTGCTGCCCGAGCCTGTGCAGCCCGTTGCCGCCCGTTGCTGCCCGTGCCTGTGCTGCCCGTTGCCGCCCGTTGCTGCCCGTGCCTGTGCTGCCCGCTGCCGCCCGTTGCTGCCCGTGCCTGTGCTGCCTGTTGCTGCCCGTTGCTGCCCGTGCCTGTGCTGCCTGTTGCTGCCCGTGCCTATGCTGCCTGTTGCCACCCGTTGCTGCCTGTGCCTGTGCTGCCCGTTGCTGCCTGTTGCTGCCCGTGCCTGTGCTGCCCGTTGCTGCCTGTTGCTGCCTGTGCCTGTGCTGCCCGTGCCTGTGCTGCCCGTCGCCGCCCGTTGCTGCCCATGCCTGTGCTGCCCGTGCCTATGCTGCCCCTGCTCTTCCCCCTCCCCCTTCTTCGTCTCCCTGCTGCGCGTGCAGCCGTGGAACAGAGGCTATGGGGGTGGCGGGTATGGGGGTGATGGGTGTGTGTGATCCCCTTCCCCTCCTCGTCCTTTCTCTCCCACTGCTGCAACTGCTGCTGGGGGGGGTGGGTGTGAGGGTGTGGGGGAGCTGGGGGAGAGGTGCTAGGGTTGTCGAGGAGTGTGGAAAGGGGAGTTGGAGGACTGAGGAAGGTTCCAGGAAGTAGCCACCTTGGAGCCAGCAGCTTCACCTGCCAGCAGCTTCTCCTCATATAATCCCTCCTCCTCACTTGCCCTCTCCTCCTGCTGCGCTTGGTGTACCCCTTCAGGGGGTGTCTCTGCATTAGCTTCTGCTGCAGGCAGTTATGGGGGAGTGTCAAAATATATCTGTAACTGCCTGTAGCTGTAGTTAGTGTAGTTATTATAAACTTTGTTTGGTGGTGCGCCTTCTTTGTTCCTTTGCTATATGTTCTTGCAAACCTATAGTGAAGTCCCATTCTCTCCTTTCAACTTTCTTGACATTCATCTTCAACCCTAAACCTAAGCTACTAAGATACTCACTAGCAATGGCTCCTAAGCCTAAGTCACGCTAGTATCTCAACAGATGATGGCTGTGTGATAGCAGCAGTGTAACAGCATCACACAGATACATGGACAGTGTCGTGAAGGTGCTCCATGTCAAACTATAATGATGCTTATGTTGTGTAGGCTATAGTGGGGTAACCCATAAGGAGTACAATCCAATTAGGGTTCATTCTTGTACCAAGTTCTATTCGCAATGCATCATACTCGCTTAGTCTTCTGACATGGTTTCAAAGCAGGTCGTGTTCCAGGACGGTTTTTTATTAGGGCCCACCATATAGTTCCCTGCCCGTAGCACGTTACCCTGCCCATAGCACATTACATTGCCCGTAGCGCGTTACCCTGCTCGTAGCGCCCTACCCTGTCTATCGCGCTGCCCCACCAGTTGCGCTCCTGCTGCGCGTCGCGCCGCGCGCCCTTGCTGCCCATCGCGTCGCGCCGCCCGTGCGCCCCTGCTGCCCGTTGCGTCGCCCGTGCGGGCTGCCCCAGCCCGTCGCGTCGCCCGTCCGCCCTGCCCCTGCCCGTCGCGTCGCCCGTGCGGGCTGCCCAAGCCCGTCGCGTCGCCCGTCCGCCCTGCCCCTGTCCGTCGCGTCGCCCATGCGGGCTGCCCCAGCCCCCCGCGTCACCCGTCCGCCCTGCCCTTGCCCGTCGCGTCGCCCGTGCGGGCTGCCCCAGCCCGCAGCGTCGCCCGTCCGCCCTGCCCCTGTCCGCGCGCCGCCCCGCTAGCCGCGCGCCGCCCTTTCATGCCCGCGCGCCGCCCTGCCGGCCGAGCGCTGTCCTGCCCTGCCCGCGCGCCGCCCTGCTGGTCGCGTGCCTTGCGCGTTTCCCTAGTGCACGCGCGTCACCCTGCTCGTCACGCGCCACCCGGCTCTGCCCGCGATGACTACTCTCAGCGTTCTCACATTTGATCCTAAGGGCCGTCCGATCCAGTTCGATACGTGGCTCGATGACTTACAGTTGTACCTACTGAGCGATTCTAGAGACAACGTTTCGTTGTTTGACCACGCGTCTGGAGCCTCTCTCGCCCCTCCCAACACACCTGACAGTGCGACTCGCTCACAGTGGCTTACCCGTGACGCTGCTGCTCGCCTAGCCGTTCGCAACCACCTGCCGTTAGCCGAACGCGCTCACTTTGGCCAGCACAAGACTGCTAAAGCCCTGTACGACGTTGTAGTCGCTCGTTACTCCTCCCCCGCCACTGCTGCTCTCGGCCGCCTTATACTGCCATACCTTTTCCCCGAGCTGTCCGCCTTTGTCACAGTCGCCGACCTCATCACCCACCTTCGCACTAGCGACACTCGCTACCGCGCCGCGCTTAAAGCCGAGATCCTAGACAAGAACCCGCCCTCGATGTACATCACTCTCTACTTCATGTCACCTGTCTCCCTGGCTCTCTTCGCGCAGTCAGGGACCACTTTCTCGCCCTTGACCCCACAGACCTCACTGTCGACGAGCTCGAGAAGCACCTCCTTGCAGCTGAGACTAGTATAGTCGCTGCAGGTGCTGCTCGTGGCACTCCTCACACTCCCTTCTTTGAGGGGTGTTCCCCCTTCCCCCTAACCCCCTCCTACGCTTCTGCTGCTGCTGTTGACTTCCTTGGTGCTGAGGAGGTCGGGGTTGCGTCTGCTCCTAGTAAGAGGCGCAGCAACGGCAAGGGCAAGGGAGGCAAGAGTGGTGGAGGTGGCGGCGGGGGAGGCGGTAGTGGAGGTGGTGGAGGCGGTGGAGGTGACATTGCATGGTGTGACATTGCATGGTGTGACATTGTATGGTGTGACATCGCATGGTGTCACGTTGCATGGTGGTATTGTAAAATGACCTGGCATGGCATGGTAACAACATGGCATGACATTGCATGGCTTGCACTGGTTCCACTCCATGTATTAATCAGCTCACGGGGGATAACAAGGAGAGGAGGACGGGCTTGCACACGTCTTTGCATGATATAGCATTACAATAGGGCACGGCACACCATGGCATGGCATGGCATGGCACTGCACGGCAAGACATGGCAATCAGCTCACGGGGGATGACAAGGAGGAGGGGCTTGCACATGTCATTCCTCAGAGTGCTCCACTCCACCGCCGCCACCCAATCGCACGCCGCCAGGTGGCGTGCTAGCGTGGCGAAGTACAGCGCCCGGCAAGCGAAGTAGCGGTGGTTCAACATGTCCTTTTCCCGGAAGCACACCTGCACAAGGGGGGTTAGGGTGATGATGATCGAGGAGTGCGTGAGCGGACGCAGCACAGTGCATGCATGCATGCATGTGACATGACGAGCAGAGTAGTAGCGTGGCGGTTCAGCACGTACTTGCAGCACACGCACCCCTGGCACACAGATGGAGACGCAGTGTGAAGTGAAGAATGGGGAGAGGGGCAGAAGCACACGTGCAGGAAGACACTGACGCGTGCAGATTTATCGATTCTTTCCTGCTGGAGGAGGTGTGAAATTCTTTGACGACTTTTCAAACCCCAGTCGAGACGCACACGTGCAGGTGCAAGAAGGAAGATCACCTTCACTTCCAGAGCAAGCATTTAAGCAAGCATGTGAGGCACACCAAATGCGTATGTCACTCGTGCAGGAAATCCATCTGCACCGCACCAGACCACACAGCACCGTACCGGAGGCATCTCCACAGCCACGTCCACATGCGTGCACGGCCTCGTCACACTCCCCACACCCGCTGCCCCTCCCTCTCCGCCCTCTCCCCCTTAACCAACCTCATCACCACCATCAGCGCCCACATGCGTGTGCGATGCAGGGTGGGAGGCGGCATGAGAGGCGGAGTGGGCGAAGCTGCCGACAACATGCATGTGCGAGGGGCGGTGGAAGGTGAAGGCGAGGCTCCTCACGCCCTCCGCCCCCACCAGCGCCTCCACGTATGGCAGAGCCAAGTCCGCTGTCACCTGCAGTGATGGGGGGCGGTTTGGGGAGGTGTGGGGAGATGTGGAACGATGTGGGGAAGGAGGGGAAACATGTTACATGAAACGGAAGAGAGGAGGGGAAAGGAGTGAGGAGGCGGAAAGGAGTGAGGGAGGGGATGTGAGGGAAGAAAATGGAGTGAGGGAGGGGAGGTGAGTGAAGAAAGCAGCAGTACGAGCATCGCCATCAGCAGCCTGCTGATCAACACCATCAATGAACATTAACACGAGCACTGCTACAGTTCTTGTGTCCACCTCCCCCCACCCCACCAACAACCCCTGTCTCCAACCTGCTCTGCCTACCCCCACGCGCGGCCTTTGCCCCAACCCCAAGCCCAGAAACCCCTGCAGTATGAACCGCTGTGCTGTGCTTTACCTCCAAACCCCCACCCCCCATGCAACCTAGAGCGAAACCGCTCACGCAACTCATGACACCCACATGCTTGTCCCACCCATATTGAACATGCTTCTCCCCATATTACTGGCCAACACTGCCCCAGCTCCGCTCCTCAGCCCAAATGCTTCAAGCAGCACTCGTCAAACTTATCAAAAGGGTTTACAAGAGTCGTTTCCTTCCCCCACTGTGCCACTCACAGCCGCCACCACACCCCCATGCAACGAGCCACGGAGAAAAGAACGCATCCCTCACACGAGCTCCCACCATCGCTCACCTGCTCGCCATCCGGCATGGCTCTAAGTGTTTCTCTTAGTTTCTCCACCGCGCCATCCACAGCCACCACCACGCCCTTCCTTCTCTGCCTTGCAGCTGCGAGGTCCACATGGGCGTCCTTCAGGACCGCTTGCACCTGCCAGGAGGGGGAGCAGGAGGAGGAGCAGTAGCAGTTACAGGTGGTAACAATGGCACCTTGCTGGTGTTCAATCGCCCTTCCCTCTCTGCCTCGCAGCTGCGAGATCCACGTGCGTGTCCCTCAGCACCGCTTGCACCTGCCAGGAAAGGGAAGGGCAGTTGCTGGTGTTAGCACATAGGTGCAGGTGTTAACACACAGTTTCAGCCACGCATTGACACAGAGGCACCTAGCTGGTGATCAATCGCCCGTCCCCCTCTGCCTCGCAGCTGGGAGATCCACATGGGCATCCCTCAGCACCGCTTGCACCTGCCAGGAGGAGAACCAAGGGGCCACAGGCAGGTAGACAGACATGGGTTGTGCGTGTGAGGTCCAGTCCGGCACCAGACTACAGACACGGTGGGTGTGGTGTGGTATGGTGTGGTGTGGTGTGGTATGGTGTGTCCACATGGGCGTCCCTCAGCACCGCTTGCACCTGCCAGGAGGAGGAGGAGGAGGAGCAACAGCAACAGCTGCAGTAGGGAGCAAGAGCCACACAAACACACAGACAGAGGCTGTGTGTGTGTGGCTCAGTTCAGCTCCACCTCACCTGCTTGCACGACATCCTCCTGTAGTAATATTTTACAGTACAAAGAGATACAAAGCGGTTTTAGTGCACCTGCATTGAGAGCCAGGGACGGATTTTAGTTCAAGGTTCGTGGTTTAACGAGGGGAACTAGGGTTTATGGACGAACTGGATAAGTGAGGACAGTCGAGCCATTTCGGCGAGGCAAGGCTTTGAGTGGTTATGATGGGGACGACTGGTATCCATAGTTGAAAAAAAAGGGATAATTCCCGGTTTACTGGACGACCCGTCGGGGTTGAGTAGGCGCCCATTGCGGCTTGACGTGACCAGGCGACGAGTCATGAGGGTTGGAACGACGGAGTGGCGAACGCGCATCGCCGCAAGCTAAGCGACGAAGCGCTTCGACGGCTGGAGCGTGCCACTTGGGGGGCTGGCGGACATGACTTGGGAGAGCACGGGATCCACACCAACAATGGTGCGTGCAAGAGCGGCCCGCTACAAGCTATAGTGGCGGAGCTGGGGCATCTAGCGCATGAAACGTCTGGCGCAAAATTGGGAGACGCGAGTGAGGGGGGGGTGGTGGGAGATGCGGTGGGAGAGGGGCGGGAAACGGGCGGCGTGCGCCCGCTGGAGGCGGGAAAAGGGCGGCACCCGGTATTCGAGCAGTGAGGACCCCGCCGCGGCCGCCGCCATTGCTCCGCCACCCACCGCCACCGCTGCGCGCCCGCCCCGCTTCACCAGCGCGGGGACCTTCTCCTTCCCACCCTTCTTCCGCGCGCCTTGCGCCTACTTCCGCTTCCGCGAACCCCCAGCCCCGCTGCCCAAAGCCACTGTGCCCGCATCAATGGGCGCCTCCCCTTCCTCCGCGTCGGCGGCGCAAGTCCGCTCGTCCTCCATCGCAAGCGGAACTGAGCTGTTCGCGAGTCGAGCAAGTTGTATCAAGTATATATCGAGAATCCTGTGAAACTCTGGCCTGCAGCTATAAGTGGCACAACCTACTCGGCGAATAGACCAGTCGAGAAAGCCAAGTGAAGCAGCTCTCTTTCAATTTCAGTAAATTGGTAGTCGGGAGGTTTGGGGAGAGACAATATGTAAAGTTTTTGAAGTTAAACTTCTAAAATTTTGAAGATTGTGATTCGACTAAAAGAGGAGTTTGCTGTAAAGGAGACAAACTCCTTCATTCCGGCAAGTCTCTCAGACCTGCCACCTAGTCCATTTGCATTTTCAGATCTCCAACTTTGCTTACCACCAGCACACTCCCTAATCCCCTCCTATGCCTAGAGTTAGGCATAGGAGCACATTACTCAACTACGTGATCAACGTCAGGTTTTCTTCCATGGCGTCTGGTTTTGTTTTCGCAGTAACCGGCCGGCCCCCCGCTCCACGAATGGTTACGCGCAGCAGCGGCACGCGTGCTTCCCCGCCAAGAGACGAGGATCGCGCTTCTTCCTCCCGTGATTGCTCAAGATCGCCACGTCGAAATGGTGGAAACGCAACATTGACCGCGCTTGACCTGCTCAATGGCGTGAGACAGCCCCTGCCTTCTGCACCTAATGTCGTCGCCGAAGGACCCGGTAATGAGCGTGCCCCCCCCGGATTTCAAGTCGAGGGGCGAGCTGCACGTGCAACAAGCGACCCGACTCAGCTAGGCGAAAACGCCCCCGCGTGCCAGGGTCCTGCAATCCAGGCACAGGACCGGAATGATCGCAGTCCTGCTCAGGCAGATCGCAATCATCGCGATTCTGCACGTGCAGATCGCAATCGGCACGATTCTGCACGTGCAGATCGCGACCGCGATTCTGCACGTGCAAATCGCGAGCAGGATCCTGCGCGTGGCGAGCGTCAGAATCGGGAGCCAGCACGCGAGGATCTTGCTCTGATTCTGCAAGTCGACACACGAATCAGGGCGAGCAACAAGATTCGCAAAATCCAGTAGTTGGGATTGCAGAAATTGCGGAAATCATTGCTCGCCTTGACCCCGCCAGCCAGCAGAATCTGAGGCAAATGTTCACTGAAACTAGCGGCGAACACATTATGGCGCGATCCTGCTCTTCTACAAGGCGTCGTGTTTCAGAGATAATAGGCAGAAAGATAGAACACGAAAGAGGGTTTGCACTAGCAGGCAGTTGAGTACATATAGGAAACCCTAAATTGTGCTGTACTCGCTATAGAGTACCCCATTGCAGGCTAGACAAATACAACATTCTGACACACCCCCATAGCCAAAGTGGGGTGTAATCGGCACAATAAGCAGGCAGAGCAATAGTTCACAATGATAAGTAAAGCTAGAGGCTATTATAGAGGGCAAGTGAGGAGGAGGGGAGACTGTGGGGGCGAGAAGATGGGAGGCAACGGCTGAGGCTGCAGACACACTGTAGCAGCTGGCTCAGTGGCTACCGAAGCAAAGGCCCGGACTTCAGGAGTAACTGGCTCCGCGGCTACACCGAGCGGCTGGAGTAACTGACCCATGGGCGACTGGCGACTATCGGAGATTGTAGCCTCCGGACTACTAGCGCTGCAGACGACAAGACGGCTGCCTCCACTCAACCTCCCCCAGCTGTCCCACACCCCTTTCACACACCCTCTGCTGCACCCCTAGCTCCACTCCCACGTCACCCCCCTAGCACCACTCCCTCGGCTCCCACACACCCACCCCACTCAGCGGCAGCTGCAGCATTGGGAGACGGAGGAGGAGGAGGAGCAAGTGGCGACACACACACCCGCCAACCCCATACTCGCCACCTCGCAGTTGCACGAGGGCGAGAGGCAGCAGGGGCGGCTCGCGGGCTGCAGGGGCGACACGCGGGCTGCAGGAGCGGCTCGCGTGGGCTGCAGGGACGGCTCGCAGGCTGCAGGGGCGGTTCGCGAGCTGTAGGAGGGGAAGCGTGCGGGCCCCCGAGGGTGCCTCGACGGGCGACCGGAAGGGGCCGCGCGGGCCCCCGTGTCAGAACATATCTATAGCTTATACTGCTGTGTAGGCTGTAGTGGGGTATCCCATAGGGGGTACAACCCAGTTAGGGTTTCATATTTGTACTGCTTTCATTCATAGTTCACTCATTCCTGCTTACTCTTTTCACATGGTATAGAGCTAGGTCCCTCCAGGACCGAAATTTTTGGGCCCACCGAAGCGCGCCCCCGAGGCGCGAATTTTTTTAGCGACCCCTAGAGTCGCTCTCTCCTCTGCGGCCTCGCCGCCCACTCTGTCGCGGCCCCGCCCTGCTCCTTACGCGGCCCCGCCGCCTGCTCCTTACGCGGCCCCGCCCCGGCCCTTACGCGGCCCTTACGCGGCCCCACGCCAGGCCCTTACGCGGCCCTTACGCGGCCCTTACGCGGCCCCGCCCCGGCCCTTACGCGGCCCTTACGCGCCGGCCCCTTACGCGGCCCTTACGCGGCCCTTACGCGGCCACGCCGCCGGCTCCTACGCGGCCCCTCGCCGGCTCCTTACGCGGCCCAGCCCCGGCCCTTTCGTGGCCCCGTCCCCGGCCACTACGCGGCTCCGCGCCGGCTCCTACGCGGCCCTTACGCGGCCCCGCACCGGCCCCTTACGCGGCCCTTACGCGGCCCTTACGCGGCCACACCGCCGGCCTCCTACGCGGCCCTGCCCCGGCTCCTATCACAGCCCCGCCCCGGCTCCTTCGCGGCCCTGCCCCGGCTCCTACGCGGCCCTACCGCCGGCCCTGACGCGGCCCCGCCCCGTCTCACTTCTACGCGACCCGAGCCGCCTGTCACCGAGCCGCCCGGGACCCTAGCCGCCCTGCAGCCGAGCCGCCCGGGAGCCGAGCCGCCCTGCAGCCGAGCCGCCCGGGAGCCGAGCCGCCCTGCACCCGAGCCGCCCTGCAGCCGAGCCGCCCGGGAGCCGAGCCGCCCTGCACCCGAGCCGCCCTGCCGCCGAGCCGCCCGGGAGCCGAGCCGCTGTACACCTGAGCCGCCCGGTCGCCGTTCTGCTTTTCTGTCGAGCTGCGCGACCTGCCCTGCCTGGTGAGCACAGTCCCACTGTCACTGCGTGCTCTCCCCCCTACTGCTTGCACTGCTTCACAGTCGTCGTCATGGCTACCCCTAGTGTCCTAGCTTTTGACGCTGAGGGTCGCGCCATTGATTTTGAGGTCTGGTTAGACGACCTGCAGCTGTTCTTACAGTGCGACAGGGCTGACGACCTTTCTCTCTTTGACCTCACCTCTGGCGCCTCTCCTGCCCCTGCTGCTGATGCTGATCCCGCTGTCCGCTCTAAGTGGGCCACCCGCGATGCTGCTGCACGTCTTGCTGTGCGTCGCCACCTCCCTACCTCTGAGCGTGCGCACTTTAGTCAGTACAAGAGTGCTCAGACCTTGTACGACGCTGTAGTTGCGCGCTACTCCTCCCCTGCCACTGCTGCACTGAGCCGTCTCATGCTTCCCTACCTCTTTCCTGACCTCTCTGCCTTTCCCACTGTCGCTGACCTCATTACGCACCTCCGCACTAGTGACACTCGCTACCGCGCCGCCCTTCCTGCTGAGTTCTGCGCTAAGAACCCCCCCCCCATGTACATCGCTCTCTACTACGTAGTCGCACGCCTCCCTGACTCCCTTCGCGTCGTCAGGGACCACTTTCTCGCAGTCTGTCCCACCACTCTCACCGTCGACCTCCTCGAGAAGGCCCTCCTTGCAGCGGAGAAGAGCATAGTCGCTGTAGGTGCTTCTCGTGGTGACCCTCGCACCCCCATCTTTGAGGGGTGCTCTCCTTCCCCCTTGCTGCCCTCTGTTGCCTCTGCTGCTGCTGCCGACCTGCTTGGTCTTGAGTCGGTCGGCGCGGCGTCTGCCCCTAGTGGGAGACGTCGCTCCAGCAAGGGCAAGGGGGGCAAGGGCGCGGGTGGAGCTGGAGGGGGCGGTGGCGGTGGCGGCGGTGGCGGCGGAGGGAGTGGGGGTGGCGGCGGGGCTAGTGGCGGGGGTGGTGGTGGTAGTGGCGGCAGCAGCGGCGGAGACGGTGGTGGTAGTGCCAGCGGTGGTGGTGGAGGCAGCGGCGGAGGTGGAGGCGGCGGAGGTGGAGGCAGTGGAGGCGGCAGCGGAGGAGGCAGTAGTGGTGGAGGAGGTGGAGCTGGTCGGGGTGGTACCCAGCAGCGTAGCGGCGGTGGTGGTGGCCAGCGCTCGCACCGGCAGCAGCAGCAGCGCTCGCGGGACATCCCTTCGCCTCAGCAGCTTCGTGAGTGGTACGCTGGGCGTCAGAGGGGTGGGGGTACTGGTCCCTGCACCTACGTTCTTCGTTCCGGCGACCGCGCGGGTGAGCAGTGTGGGGGTGCCCACGCCACCCAGCGCTGCTTTGGCCGCCTGACGGACGCTTGGCGTCAGCAGTTCCCTGGGGCTAGTGAGATCCCTCGCTGGGATGAGCTTCTCAGGGCTGGTGTAGCGATCTTTGATCTTGATTTTGATGCTATCCTTACTGCTATGTATGTTGTGGATTATAGTGAGGAGAATGAGGGTTACCGGTGTTTTCAGCCCGACCCGGGCATTGGTACTGCTGCGCTAGGTGCTTGTGAGGCTGCTGCTCTAGGTGCCAGTGCGTCTGCGCTCTCAGGTACTGGTGAGACTGCGCTCTCAGGTACTGAGTCGTCCTCGTCCTCCCTCACTTTCACACTTGACTCCGGAGCTTCTCGCTCCTTCTTTCGAGACCGCACTACCCTTTCGCCGCTCGCCAGGCCGGTTGCGGTCTCCCTTGCTGACCCCTCTGGGGGTCCTGTCCTGTCTCACTTCTCCACTGTCCTCCCGTGTCCGGTTGCCCCTTCGGGCACCCTGTCGGGTCTGTACCTTCCCTCGTTCTCTACGAACTTGGTGAGTGGAGCGGACCTGCAGGATGGGGGTGTTCACCAGTTCACTCCTGCGCGTCAGAGGGTGACCCACTGCACGGAGGCTCGCACAGGCCGACAC